CTTACCGCAAGAAATCTTTTGCAGCTGCGGGGCCAAAACCTACTTCAAAGGAAATAGAAGCCAGCAAAGAGGAATGCAGGCAGAAGCTTCTTAATGGTGAATGGGTTTGCATTGAAGTGAACAAGGCTGGTACGAGTACAGGTTCGAGTGCGGCGTGGGAGAAGTTTGGCCGGATCGTCCACAAGAATGATCATAAAATCAAGACTAAATTTGTACAATGCCTGAATCCTGATTGCGGTCTTATCAAAATTTCTAATGTTAACAATGGGAGTCGCAAATGTTTGGCTGAACATAACTGCAAGCCTAGAGGGCCAGCTTCAGCAAATCTCCATACCAGAGACGTTAAAGCCCAGATGGCCAAACTCCTGGCCGATATCACAGGCGAAACGTTTGCACCTTTCACGTTATGTGAGTCTGACTCCTTCAAGGATTTTGTAAATTTTGTGTTGACTGTGGGAAGAAATAGCAAGCTGCTTAGTCTGACTGCCGACGACGTACTTCCAAGTGCCAAGACTGTGACCGAGAAGTTGAGGGATTCTGCTGATGAAATTAAGGCAGACTTGGTCGAAAAAATCAAACCAATGGTTGATGATGGCTTGTGCTCTGCAACATTGGATGGATGGACTGACGAGCAGCGCCAAAGAAAATACTATGCTCACACTGTGTCATACATAGACGACGAATGGGAAATGGCTGATAACCTGCTTTGCCTAGCACACTGCAATGCCGAGTCGGTCACTGCAGAGGTTATCAGTGATACGGTAACGATGGAGAAAGTTAATCTGGATATCAACCCTGAGTCCGAGATGCATTACGTCACTGACGATGGTGCCGACATAGTGTGTGCCGTGCGTCTTTGCAAGCAAGAACGGTCCTATTGTATGGATCATTGCACCAATCTGACCATGAAGAAAGCCATGCAGGCACCACTAAACCGGGTGGACTTGTATGGGGATGCTGGTGGCCGTGTTGTGGATGCTGTTAACAAGGCCGTCACTATCATCAAAGGCTCCAAAGCCCAGCATGCACAGGAAGTTCGGGCCAAACTAAAGGCTGGGCCCAGGAAGCGCACGGGCCAAAGGGTGTTCGTCTCGAGCATTCCCATGCTTAAGTCTGCAAAGCAGCACTTTAAAAAGGTATGGTCGGGTTATTTATGGGCTCTTTCTGTGGAGCATTCCCCCCCCCCCCTCTCCCCCAGTTTTCTTTCATCTAATACTTTTTTATTTCTGTTAAGGTTGAAGCAACACTTGGCAGATTGGGCCGGAATGAAGTTCTGAATGGGATCACAGAACAAGATATTCAAGACGTGATCGACGTAGTGTCACCCATTCAGAACCTTGCCACCGCCAAAGGCTCTAAGAAGATGTTTTTAGCTCGGCACGCTAACGAAGTGGCAAAGTTCACAACTGCTCATGATAGTGACTCCCCGCTGAAGACTGCTCTAAAAATCCACATTGCCGAGGAGTTGTCTTTACTGCCACTTCTTGTGCTTATTCAGAAGTTGAAGAGCGTTGTGAAATACATCAAGGCAAGTGGTTTAATGGAGCAGATTCAGGGGGGTGCTCTCAAACAAGAAGTGGATACCAGGTGGATGTCCCTGCTGTATATGATGGAGTCTTTCTTTCCACCTGAGAAATCAGACCATCCTATCCACAGCAAAATAGACCAGGTAACGACAACAAGGCGCCCTGCCATTTCCCGTTGCAGTGACTAGCTGTAGAGTAAGACCCGTTTTCCATTTCTTAACGTTTTCTTGTTGTTACTTTTTTTTACAGATAAATGGTTTATTGCGTGAGCGGGACAGAGAGGCCCTTGTCATTTCGGACGATGACATCATCTTACTTGAGGCTACTATTCCGATTCTTAAGACGTTTGAAAGAGCCATTAAGCAATTTGAGGGGGAGTACTCACCGACGATTCAGTTCGTCATCCCTCAGTACCACCTGATAAAGGAGGCCTTGCAAGTTCGTTTTGATGATAGCAACTTGATGGCTAAGCTGAAGGCAATGCTGCGCCGGGAACTGGATAACAAGTTTTTGCCAAACATTTCAATCCGGCACAAACTTGGCCTCCTGTTCTGGCCGCAGTTTAAAAGCTTGCCAAAGATGTCGGCTGCTGAAAAAGACGAGGTTTGTATTCGTTATGTTGAGAGGGTGGTTTGCAGTCAAAATAAGTCGCTCTAATCCATCTCCGTAACGTTTTGCACTTCTAATGCAATTTACTTGCGCGCAGGTGCACCAAGCTGCTCGCGACATGCTTGCCGAGGTGGCTCGCAAGCAAGCTGAGAAGCAACCTGCTGTGGTGAACGAGGAGGAACCTTCAGCGCCTGCCACGAAAAGGAGGAGAGTATCTTCATCCTCTGAAGATGAGTATTCAATGCTCCAGCTTGAAGCAGAGCTAGAAGAGCCACCAGCAGAGGATGAACTGACAATTTACTTAAAATTGAATACTGCTCTGTGCAAGGCAAAGCCTAAAGATATTCTTAAGTGGTGGAAAAATAAGGTTTGTACCGACTGACTTTATCACGGCATTTTGATCATGGCTTTTTTATTTACATTGATGCTTTTTTTGGACAGGCCAAAGACTTTCCTCTTTTAAGCAAAGTCGCACGGAAGGTACTAGCTACCCCTGCGTCTAGCGCATCGGCGGAGAGGAAATTTAGTGCAGCGGGACTCCTGATCACGTCCAGAAAGAACAATTTGCTGCCGGCTACTGTTGCCGATATTTTGATCGTGCATGACTACTTGAAAAAGAAAAAGAGACTGAAGAACAGGCTGTGATTGCACCTGCACGGTTAACTTTTTTTGTTTTTTGTTTTTTTGTTTTTGTTCATATTTTTCTGTGACTTTTCCTAGTCAATTTTGCCAAGAAACTTTGTGCTAGAAATTTGTGTCAGGCAATACCACTCATTTGTTTCTCTTTTGTAGAATAATGTCACAACTCAAGCATATGAAAATCAATGACATGACTGAATAAAAGTTTGTATTTGAGGTTTCCATTCTCCTATCTTAACATTATATGAAATCCACTTGTCCGGCATCAAACCATCCTCACACAAAACGCCCCGTGCACGCATGCAACACAACATACACACGCCTATGCTTCGCCTTGGTGCCCAACGAGCCGCCGGCGGCGGCACGGCCATGGCCACGCCTCGGGTGCACCACAGTTCGCGGATTCGGGGGGGGGGGGGGGGGGGGGGGGGAATTACTGCACCCTTACGTACTTGATAGAACACCCGTCACGTGCTGGTGAATCACCGACATGGCGGGGCGGGCCCGAAAGGCAGACGATCAATAATTGTGGCCCAGCCATTAATCGCAATCACAATCGACTGCTTGGTAGGCAAAAAGCACGGTAGCACCCCTGTAAGTAGGCAAAAGGCACTGCTTTACCCCCTCCTTAGAAACATCCTGGATCCGCGCCTGTGCGCCACGCGCCGCCATCTCCTTAGATGGGCAACGCGCCACCACGCCTCGGGTGCGCCTCGCTCTGCCTCCTCCAAATCCAGGTGCGCAACGCGCCGCACCGCCACCAGCCAGCCTCCCAGTGTGCGGACACTGGGCAGCTGCGAGCGGCCGACGCCAGTCGGATTCGGCTGGGACCAGCCAGTCGCTTACCGACTGACGACTGAAGCCCGTGCCAGTCGGATGCAAGAGCCAGCGACTGGCACGTCAGTCGCTTCAGCCAGTCGATTTCGCTAAAAGTCCGAACACTGGTTGCCACCCCCTGGTTTTAGCTTGTCTCCAGAGCAGTGCACATCGCATCCGAATACAAGTCCGCGTCGCGTGTCATCTTTCTTGTGACGCTCCGTCGTGAAGCAAGTTTTATGTGTTACATCGGCGCTCAGCACAGTGGGTACAGTGCCTTTTTGCCTTCGCCTTTCCGTGCCCCAAAATTGCTTTGGGTGCGTGCAGTCACCACTCTGAAGCATCCGAAATCCGCGGCCAGCAGGCTGTGAAAGTGGCGTAGCCCTTTTACTGATATTGCTCTTCCAAACTAAAGGGACGGGTGAGGCGAGTGGGTGGCGTTTTGGAAATTTGTCACTCCTCTTTCATCCTCGTCCCCCAAAATATTTTCATCGTGCCGAAAAAATTTCCACAAGTGGCATCTGGATCCACCCTGCTGCTTTTCCCGTTTTCAGCTGCATTTCTGGGGTTTTTCATCCGAGGACTAGTTTTTTTTTTTTGGGGAAACTCTCTCAGCAAAATATCATATCTAGTTAAAGTTTGCGCAACTTTGGGTGCTACATTTTAAAAACAAGAGCTGTTTTACAACTGCTCTATTTAGTGCATGCATTCCATGTTTTTCAGCAATTTAAAAAATGCATCCCCCAAAAAATAATATGGGATCCCGACAAAAGTGGTAATTTTTACCTGGGCGGCTTAGAATTCAACCCGCGAGGGGGAAAAATTTAGACTGCCATTAGTCCGAAAATTCAGATACCTGGTAGTCCTCGTCCCTAAAGTATTTTCATCGTGCCGAAAAAGTTTCCACAAAGGTGCATCTGGATCCACCATGCTGTTTCCAGTGTTTACAGCTGCATCTTCTGGAGTCTTAATCGAGGGCTAGTTTTTTTTTGGGAAGCTCTCTCAGCAAAATATCAATCTAGTTAAATTTTGCGCAAATTTGGGTGCTACATTTAAAAACCCAAAAGCTGTTTTACAACTGCTCTATTTAGTGCATGCATTCCAGTTTCTCAGCAATTTAAAACAGCATCCCAAAACATAATATGCATCCCGACAAAAGTGGTAATTTTATTTCCTGGGCGGCTTAGAATTCAAAACCCCCGAGGTGAAAAATTCAGACTGCCATTAGTCCGAAAATTCAGACTACCTGGTAGTCGTAAAATTCTAAATACTTTCTAGTCTGAAAATTCAGACGACAGGTGGTCCAAAAAATTTAGAGTGTCCCGGGGGGCTGAAAAATTTAGACCACTGGGTTTTAAAATTGACTTCATCCCAAAAAGTCTGAAAATTTCGACTTTTTTTTTAACAGTGTACCGCCATAAACCCCAAGAGAAATATTTCAACTGCAACTTCACCACGAGTTTGACTTTCGACGACAACGTAAACGTTAGTGCGATTAGCTTAATATTTAAGAAACATTTTGTCATTCTTTGATTACCTATAAACCAGTTCATAAAACATCTGGTTCCTGATTTTTGATTACTTATGTTCTTCACTGAGCGACGACTGACAGGGTCTGTTCAGTAAAACGAATTGCTTCACACTTCCTCTTTCACACTGTTGTTTACTTTGTCCAGAGCGCCGTCGTGTTCGATTCGTGGAGCTCCCGCGGCGGTTGGAAGGACAACGCCCTGGAGATGAAGTTCAATCGTCTCTGCTCGTCTATGAACGCGTACCTCCCAGACGTGTGGCAGCATCTTCGTGGCCATGTCTACGGGCCCAGCGGTCTCGTTACGGCCTGTCCCTTGCCACCGGTAAGGGCAACAAGGTAGGTGTACGACAGACGGGGGCTTGTCGAGCAGGCCTCGCGATGCTGCTCCTGTTCTGACAAGCCACGCCTGGCATCTACCTTTCCCTCGGCAGGCTGGGTGAATCACTGTGCCTTCTGGTGTACACATGAGTACGAGGGAGTACACCTTCCTTTACCCATAAATTTCACATTTGTAAACATCTCAATGCTTTATTAAGCGTTTTAAATATCACTCAACGCCAAATCGGTCGAAAAACTAGTGAATTTCGCCCTTTTAAAACTTGTGAGTACACTGAGTACGGGAAAATTTGTACACATGAGTACACTAGTGATTCACCCCTCGCTTCTGTCACACATCGGTACTCAATGAGACGCGAATGCAACTCGCAAGTCGAAACAGAAATCGGTTTTTGTATTTACGCTGGGGGCTCCGCCCCCCAGAACCCCCTTAAAAATGCACTGCAAACCTAACTGTCTACAAAGTACTTAAAAATGCAAGCTTGCAAGTACACACTTACAGACGCACGCTTTACGCATGGAGTTATACGACGTCAAGCGTGCGTTTGTAAGTGTGTACTTGCAAGCATGCATTTAAAAGTGTGTACTTGCAAGCCTGCATTTGTAAGTGTGTGCTTGGCTAAGCATGCGTTTGTAAGTGTGTACTTGCAAGCATGCATTTATAAGTGTGTACTTGCAAGCCTGCATTTGTAAGTGTGTGCTTGGCTAAGCATGCGTTTGTAAGTGTGTACTTGCAAGCATGCATTTATAAGTGTGTACTTGCAAGCCTGCATTTGTAAGTGTGTGCTTGGCTAAGCATGCGTTTGTAAGTGTGTACTTGCAAGCATGCATTTGCAAGTGTGTATTTAGTATACAGTTAGGTTTGTAGTGTGTGGAATGACGGGGTTCGCTGATCAAACTGCGTCACATATTTAGGTTAGTACCCCGGAACTCTGGTGAAGGGGGAACCAGGGGTCGGAAACGGCCTAGGGAGCGCGTGAGCCCATGCGCCCCACCGCTACCGACGCGCCGCGCGCGGCGGACCGCTCTGCACGGCGGTACTAAAATCGACAGAACTTTGTCAAAACTTCATCAAATCGATCAAACGAGGTCATTTTTGGATTCTACACAAAATTTCCTATCGATTACGAACAATGGTTTAGCGTTTCAAGTGTTTAAAACACGTTATTTTTCAATTATAAGTCAATTTTACCGGCAACCGACAGCCGACTTGATATTTCTCATTCGCTTAAAAAGTGATTTCTGTTTGTTTTAGGTCCATACATGCAGCGAGCCGATTGTTGGCCGTAGTTTACTCTGTGGCGTGGTGTGTTTGGAATGTTGATACGACCTCTGGGGCGACCACAGTGATCCAAAACGTAACTTGGACATTTGGTACAAAATTGGTTTTTGCAACTTTGGAGGTTAAAAGCACAGCTTGTGAAAGCACGTTTGTCATGTTCTATACGCCTAAGCCACCCAGAATTTTATTCTCTATCGCCCTGTGGTAAGGGTTTTGCGAAAAGGGGATCAAACTTCAGATATCTCGCAAAAGTTCCGAAACACTACGAAAAAGCCGTAACAGTAAGCAACGGGGGAGCTTAATGTAAACAAACTATAGCTCGGATTGAAAATCTGACACCACCACGTTGTAGCGCGGACAATTTTACAAGCCATAGTCTAAGCTCATCGCAATCGGACCATCGGTTTGAACGTAGCGAGCAAATCTCTTAAACCCCCCTGTTCAGTGCGCCGCCACAGTAATTTCTCATACTGCCGCCGCCTGCCCAAACCCGACGTTAAATCTGTCTTTTAAATATATCTGCTGTTTTCAAACCGAGGTCCGATTGCGATGAGCTTAGCTATGGCTTGAAAAATTTGTCCGCGCTACAACGTGGTGGGTCAGATTTTCAATCCGAGCTATAGTTTGTTTACATTAGGCCCCCCGTTTGCTTGTACTTTTAGGGTCAGGGGGGGGAAGAACTGGACGTTTTGCAATCTTTCTCGATTTTGACTCTAATTGACATCTTTAGCCAATGTATCCGTTGGGTCTGTTGATGGGCCTCAAAGAAAGACATTTCAACCCTCAGCGAGTGCGTTTGCGGCTTCATTCAGTAATAAAGAAAAAAAACAGTGTGCGATTCTTCCCCGTCGAAAGGGGGAAAAATCGAACACCTAAGGGGAAAATCGGACATAGGCTTTAATTTTAAAAAAACCTATGAAAGTAGGTCAGAAATCTCTTGGGAACGATATTTGGAGGTAACACTTGCGATACCCACTGAACAGCCGCACGAGTATTCCTACGTAGACAGAAATCATCGAGTTGTCAGGGGGGCCGTGGCGGCACGTTTTTGAGGTTTAAGTGACCAAAATGTATGAAAACGTCAACAGCCGTGTTTTTTTTTCCCACTAAATGTTGGGAAATGCTAAAATACCTTGTTTCGACCACTTTGGTGGGATGTTAGGGCAATTCATCGATTATTATAGAAAAAAAGAGGTGTTCGATTTTTCCCCGCACCAGTGTACGGTTTTTCCCCGTTTCGTATTTAACCCTTCATATGTAATCCAGCTTGAAATCTGCTAAAACATTTGAACGTATCTTGGGCTCCACACTTCCAACTTTCGTTTACAATAAGAATATTCGTCACAGTAGGCTCGGAAAGTCGTTAAAAAGAGATATTGCGGGCACCAACTTTGAAAGTTTTTTAAAGGGGTTTTTAAAAGAGACCTCGTTTAAAGGTGACTTTGAATACTTTCCGGGTTTAAGTAGGCTAAAGTCCTCTTAAACGCAATCTAGCAGATCATCAAAAAGCAATACTGAATACTTTGCACGTCCCAAAACAGGTAAATTTGTGGCGAAAGTGCGGTGTGCGTTTCTTCCCCAACTTGCAGGTGTCCGGTTTTTCCCCGCCCTGACCCTACGGCGTTTTCGTAGTGTTTCGGAACTTTTGCGAGATATCTGAAGTTTGATCTCCTTTCGCAAAACCCTTACCACAGGGCGATAGAGAATAAAATTCCGGGTGGCTTGGGCGTATAGAACATGACAAACGTGCTTTCACAAGCTGTGCTTTTAACCTCCAAAGTTGCAAGAACCAATTTTGTACCAAATGTCCAAGTTACGTTTTGGATCACTGTGGTCGCCCCAGAGGTCGTATCAACATTCCAAACACACCACGCCACAGAGTAAACTATGGCCAACAATCGGCTCGCTGCATGTATGGACCTAAAACAAACAGAAATCACTTTTTAAGCGAATGAGAAATATCAAGTCGGCTGTCGGTTGCCGGTAAAATTGACTTATAATTGAAAAATAACGTGTTTTAAACACTTGAAACGCTAAACCATTGTTCGTAATCGATAGGAAATTTTGTGTAGAATCCAAAAATGACCTCGTTTGATCGATTGATGACGTTTTGACAAAGTTCTGTCGATTTTAGTACCGCCGTGCAGAGCGGTCCGCCGCGCGCGGCGCGTCGGCAGCGGTGGGGCGCACGGGCTCACGCGCTCCCTAGGCCGTTTCCGACCTTTGGGGGAACTATTCTGAGAATGAGTTTTTCCAGCATCGTTTCCAGAAATTTTCTATTGATTTAAAATGATCGAGTCGCGAAGCCTGGTATGACAAGGCATAGTCTGGCGTACACTTCCCCTAATTTTTTAAAGTTTCGGACCCCTGCCCTTAATGAGGGGAGTTGCGAAGAAAGTGCTTCTGCAAGGCAATCGTTCTTCACAACTCTGGTATTTGACATTCTTGACTTTTCCAGGACACATACAGCATTAACAACCTAACGACGCGCTACGCTTCCACGCTCATCCCAGCCTTGTACTACGGAAAGTGGCGAGTCAACCTCAGAGCCTTCCTCAAAGAACAGTGCTTCATGTGCATTCGTGCAATTGTGCGCGTTGATCCCAAAGGCAAAGCATAGGCAAAACAAATGAACCATGTTTTAGTTATCTTGTACGAAGGCATTGTCTTTTGTTCGTTCCTCTGTCTGTACACGCTAAGGGGCGTTCCTCATCAGACTGTCAGGGTCCGAAATGTACTTGCTCTCAACGGGCTCCCAACTTTTTCTAACTTAGCCTACAGGGTGAGTTTTCTCAATGTGTCAATAATTTGTAGGTAGTTTGGGCACCCCAAGGGGATCATTTTCTACCAATGAACTAGTGGGCGCAAACGTCTAGGTACGGAGATAATTGGTGTTTTGTTGGCTGAGCGATAGCGAAGCCTGTTACTCCAGTCGGGTTGAAAAGTTTTTCATGTCTGTCTGTCTGTCTGTCTGTGTGTCCGCACTACTCCTCCTGAACGGCTCGGCCGATCTCGGTGAGATTTTGCACACTTTTTGGCCCGCCCTTCTATTCAAAAAATAGGGGGAGGGCCTATGCATTTGCCTTTGTGTCTGTGTGTTGTTGTTGTTGTCGTTGTTGTTGTTGTTGTTGGCGTCTGTGTACAAGGAAGGAGTTGAGCTAGAGTAACCAGATTTGGAGTGTACTTCAGGAGTACCGTCCAAACAAATAATCCGGTGGTGCAAATCCCGTCCGGGTCGCACAAGGGCTGCTGCAGGTGCATCATGGTTTACATGAGCGGGAGGGGGATTTGCGCCATTATTGGTGCTAGCAGGGCACATAAGGGTATTTTTGGAATCGGGGCGACGAGACAAGATGAATGGACCTGGTCCCGACCCCATCGGCCGCTCTTACAAGTTGGCCAGATCAGGATCTTCAAAAAAGGGGGTCGACCGACTAAAAAAATTTATTGCAGATTTCGATTGGTCTCAGCAAGACCTTTTCAACGAGGGGTCGGAAAGGGGGTCCAGGAGCCCGACTTCGTCTATTAGTCACATCAGGATCTTAAAAAAAGGGGGTCGACCGACTAAAAAAATTTATTGCAGATTTCGATTGGTCTCAGCAAGACCTTTTCAACGAGGGGTCGGAAAGGGGGTCCAGGAGCCCGACTTCGTCTATTAGTCACATCAGGATCTTGAAAAAAGGGGGTCGACCGACTGAAAATTTTTACTTAAGTTTTCGATAGGTCTTGGCAAGACCTCTTCAACGAGGGGTCGGAAGGGGGGTCCAGGAGCCCGCCTTCAAGAGTTATGGGAAAAAGTGCGACGAACTCGTTTTGCGCTCCTGCTGTGCCTCTATTGCAAGGAGTTGCAGTAGCATGGCAAATATGGGTATTTTCGGAATGAGGGCGAAGAGACAAATGAAATGGGCATATTCTATGGACAGTTGGAGTAAAAAGTGTAAGGACTATTGCATATTGTGAATAGAAGGGCGGGCCTAAGTCACGATGGTACATCGATAACTTTGCTTTACCCGCTCACGGTGTGTGTGATGCGAGCGGGCCGAAGGCCCGGGCCTTCGACTGGCTAAGTTGGGTCTGATGCGAGGGCCGAAGGCCCGAGAAAAGGCCGCCGGCAGGCCAAGCTGGGCCGGCCCCCTGGCGAACCGAGTTGCCGGCGCAGCGAAGCGGAGCTGGCAACACGGTTCGACGGAAGGGCGGGCCCTAGCTTGTTAGGTATGTCCTTGGCTCGGCACACGCGAAATTTCACTCCCCTAGCTCAACTGGTTCAGGTTTTAGAGCCGAAAAACACCTAAAAAACGGCGAAAAATCGAGTTTTTTTGCAGATAGATCACTTCTGTCTTGGAGAATGGGGGGTCTGGGGGGCGGAGCCCCCCAGCCTCGACAAGATAAAAAGTGACAAGGGTCAAGATCGTGTTAACTGTACGCAAAACAACTCTGTTTAGAATGTAGGGGGTCTGGGGGGCGAAGCCCCCCCAGCATTCAGCAAGTTAAAAAACAACCGACAATGGACAAGCCATTGCCTGCCGCAGGCAGGCTAGCGCCGCAGGCCAAGGTAGGTACGCCAGGCGTGGATTGGAAGAACAGGCAGCGAGACATCGCGAAGCCTGTTACGACAAGACGCGGTCTGGCGTAAACCTACCTTTTAATTAGCCTTCGCGCCTGCGAGGTAGGCACCCGCTGCCACTGATGGGCGCAGGACCTCACGTGGGGGTGTCGCGGGTCTAGGAGGGGTGCTTCGGGTCTCGAAGGGGTGCGGCGGACCTTTCAAATGTCTTTTGGGAGGGGTTGCCGCGGGTCTCAAGGGGCTGTCATGGTGGCCCCCGTTACAGTGGATCTCACGGCTGTCTTTGCGAGGGTGGCGGGATTCCACGGATACTTCCGCGAGGTAAGTGGCACTCCCGCGAGTACTGCTAGTCCCGCGACACCCCCTCGACAGGTCATGCCACCCTCAGTGGCACCGGGTGTCTACCTCGTAGGCGCAAAATCCAATTACAAAACACCAATTATCTCCGTATCTAGACGTTTGCGCCCACTAGTTCATTGGTGAAAAATGGTCCCCTAGGGATGCCCAAACTGCCTGCAAATTATTGACACATTGAGAAAACTCACCCTGTATTACTCAAGAAACACATCCATTAATTTAAAAACAAATGGGGTTTGGCCGTTGTGATATTTTGAAAGTTCCAATAAAGTTTTAAACTTTTCCTCGTAGCATTTTATAAATTGTGTATTTAGGCTCTAAAATGGGTTGAAATCCGTAAAACATAAGTTAATTGAGTGAAAAGCAAATTCGGGACCCTCAGCCTTTACCAGAGTGAATGTTTTTGACTAAGGTTACGCCTTTGAATTCTCAAAACACTTCATCTTACTTGTGGACCATATTGGCCTCAAAGGAGACACTCTCTGTTGGCAGACTTCTGCACTGAAATCAGGGTACAAATTTCTACTGCTACTAAGTCCAATGAAACTCGAATGAAAATTTTCTAAATTGCATAGAGGCCTACGAAGGGGAAAAAATCTACCCCTGGGTGGGGAAACTACTAGACTACCTCGTGTCTAAAGAAACAACAAAAACACGCCAGATTTTTCCCCTCCTTGTACTCACGCAGCCGTGCATCTGGGCCAGCCAGCGGGATGTCAAGGCAAGCCGACTGTCCGAGCGGTTTGACCTTGCGCTGGTCAGGTCTGGGCGGCGGGTCCCGCAGAGAGAGAGAGAGAGAGAGAGTGACGCGGCCCGCGGAGCTGCGGCTGCTCTCTGAGGCAGGTCTGGGCGGCTGGTCTCGCGGAGAGAGGAGAAGGGAAAAGAAAGGGGGGGGGGGGGCAGAGATGCAGGCCACGGAGCAGCACCGGCTGCAGTCCGAAGAAGGCCCCCAGCCGCGCCGCACGCACTGCCAGGTGCCCGCCAGATTCCCGCGAAGTCGAAATGCCCATCACGCCGACGGTGGCGGTGCTGGCCGCGGTGGTGCTCAGCGTGTGCCCGCAGCAGTCCGTCGGCCAGTTCGACTCGGCGGCTCTGGCAGAACAGTTCCGCGCCCAGGTAAAAATGAGTTAAAACTTTCAACTTCAAATTGTTGAAATTTGTAGCCTAGAAGCGTTTGTAAGTTTTCATATGCATTTAAATGCGTAAGCATATTTTGACAGGTCCTAACGGTTTTAGAATGACACATGTTTACAAGAATACAAGGTTTTACAGAGATGGTACTGTTTTTATATAGTCTCGAAAAGAAAAAAGGTTGTATTCCTTTTACTGTCCCACACATGTAAGCCCCTTAGGGAAACCAATACAGATTTATAAAACCGCATGTTTTTATTGATCTCAATCTTTGTAATAAATTGTAAGATTTTAACCAGTCTTGAAATTTTGCTAGTACCTCAAGTTTCAGAGAGTTTAAACCTTCTTTTGCCGGGGTATGCAGCTGCTCACGGTGTTCACGGGCTCCGCTGGCGCGCGCAGTTCCCTGCACCGGCAACTGGCGGCCATGCCGCGGCTAGGGCGCAGGTCTCCACCAGTGCCGGAGCCCCCGCCCGAAACGGTGAGTCCACCCGAAGAAGCACTCGTCGAGCCGACGACCGCCAGAGTCTGTGAAACAATTCAAAACTTTCCCTGTTTTTGTTTTGTACGAAGTCACGGTATATATTTGCACTTACAAATTTAAGCCTTTCGAATTCCCGACGAAGCTTCGGCTGGTTTCTCTCAGAATCTTTAAATTTGAACATTTTTGTCTGTACCCAGTAAAAATGCTAAATGGATGCCGAAGGAACGTGCTTGGGTAAACTTTTTTTAAGTCAATATTGAAAGAAAAACAAGAATATTTGATTAATTTTACTACAGAAATTCAAGTATATTCTAGTTCTGTACTGTGCATGACTCTGAATTCTCCATTCTTCAGGCCCTCTCCGGGGGTGAAAGAATGTTATGCCATCAAGGGCGTAGTTTTCAAGCCTTTGCTTTACCAGCGTAGGCGCTAAGTTTTGGGAATGTGCTGCAGACGGCGCTGTGTCGACAGAGCGGCCACGCGAACTGCGAGCTCCACACAGTCCGCTCGGAGGATGGCTACCTGCTCAAGGTGGTCCGCATCCCCGCCGCGGCCGGCGCCGTCCCCGCCTTGCTGCTGCACGGCGACCTGGCCTCCTCCGACTCCTGGATGATGCGCAAGGACAAGTCCAACTTGGGTGCGTGTGCGTGAGGCCGGGCTGGTGAAGGAACACAATCCCCCTTTTTTTCCAAATCCCTTGATTTTGTGTGAGTCATTTTTGTTTGAGCGTGGTATGGTCAAAAAGCATGAAGTCCAGAGAGCGCCCACTATGTATCATCATCATATGGCATCGAATGGATCTGGTGCAATTCATCGACCACTTGCCTTCCCGATAATAGGTGATTTTCGCTCTATGTTTTACAGATATTCCATACCCCAACAAACAGCCTTACATTTGTTTTCATTTGAAAGAGGGTCTAACGTACGATCGGCAGTTCGAGGGGTCCTATTCAAAAGATCTTATCTGGCCGTTCCCCCCAAGAGGATCTTATCTTCATCGCAGGCGAATTTCGCTCAGTTTGATGCTACAGACAAATAAAATTAGTGATCAAATTCACTTTAATCTGAAGATTGAGTAAAATTCACATGCGTTTAAGATAAGATTCTAATGGGGGGAACGCCCAGATAAAATCTTTTGAATATTCGTCGAATTAAGTTCGAGAATTCGCAATCGTCTTCTGACAGTAAGGACACTCGTGTCATTTGAAAAGCACTTGAGCGGACGTTGATTTATTATTCAATCAAACAATAAACAAATCAAACAAATAATGAAAAATCTCTGGTGGACAGGAACGGTTCTCAACGCGGCCGGCTACGATGTGTGGGTGGCCAACTTCCGGGGAAGCACCCATGGACGCGGCCACGCCTCGCTCAACACCACCGACCCACGCTTCTGGAATTTCAGGTAAAAAGCAACGCGTGAGTCCTGGACCGTCTCTGTTCGTGTTGATCTTGTGTTGAGAAGTGGGACTTAGTTAAGGTCCGTGCCAGAAAGATTACCCTTAAACTTTTAAGCAATGGGTGAAGGTGAAATCTACACTATTAGGGATCTGTTTTCTTCCTCAAGATCACCGTTTTATCTCTTTCAGCTAAGTTTACACGGTTAAAACGGTTCTTGGTTTTACCAGGAAGCCTATGGCAAAGACATAGGCGATTTCCAGGCAGTTCCTGGGAAATACCAGGAACCGTTTACACCGTGTACTGCCGCTGCCTTTTCCGCCGTTTGGGAACAAGAAACGAAAACTGTCACAATGACTCCTGTCATTCCTGTCGTCGGAGTCGTTGCCGCTCCTTAATACTGTTACACTTCGTGCAGTTTACCGAAGTATTCTTGTCCGACGAAAGATCCATGTCTGTGAAGGAATTGAAGTGGACACGCACTTGCCACTGTCTTTTCTAAACTAGGACAGTTGGAATCACAGAGAGCACATTTAGACGGCCGTCCGGCCCCTTCACCGCCTTTTACTGTTAAATATGTTGTATGTGGCAGATTCAGGCTACATACAAATAAATAACGTAGAAAAATAGGCAGACGCACAGCGGTGTGTGTGTGTGTGCGATGAAATTTCCCGGCTGGTCATACATACTTTACTTACATAACCATCCTCACTCAAAGTTGAGTGACAATACTATCTGGTCAGTAGGTACACTGAGACAAGGCGGTGCCCAGAAAGTGACCGACTAAGTAGCCCGTCCCAGTTTTTAGGGCGACTTGAGTCGCCTAGTTTCTGGGCGACACGGTCGCCTAGTTTTAGGGCATCTTGGTCATGTAAACACTGAGCTCACTGATCTATGTAGGCCCCAGGCACCCACAACCTGAGCACCTTTGGGGTTGATCCGACCTAATGTAAACCACTGCTGCCCAGATTCGGGGCACCCATTGCGCCTAGATTCAGGGCACCTCTGACGCCACCCAAATGTGAAATTCATTGGGTTTATCCACGTGCAGGCTAACTTGTGTACAATGCCTTAGGCCAGCATTGATAAGTACGCTTAGTATTTACATCACCAAGATGCCCTAAAACTAGGCGATTGTGTCGCCCAGAAACTAGACGACTCAAGTTTCTCACTTAAAATTAGGGATTGGTCAAGACTTTGGCATGACCAGTGTAGCGGTGTGTCGGTTAGCACTCAGAGTAAGTACTTCTGCTGCAGCTGGCACGAGATGGGCGTGTACGACATACCCGCCTTCGTGGACTACATCCTGGCGCACACCAAGGCCCCCACACTGCACCTCGTGGGCCACTCGATGGCCTCGTCCGCTGCACTGGTGACGCTTTCCGTGCGGCCCGAGTACAACGCCAAGATTCGCCTCGCCAGCTTCATGTCCCCCTCCATCCGCTTCCGTAGAGGCATCATTCGCGGCACGTCTGACCTCACCTTCCGATTCTTTAGGAACAACGTGGAGGTAATCTTCAAGTGACGCTTTACTCGTAGGAATGCATCTCTTGCGCCCCTCCCCAACCCGTCCGTCTGCATCCGCCCTTCCTCAAATAATTTGGCATAACGATGTAAGCTGAGGCCTTAGAATGGTTTACAACATTACACCAAATAATTTGACTCTATTCTGCAGTCAGGGAGAAAATCAAATGAACATTTCAAGACGTCATCAATTCAACATTTCGTTGAAAATATTGTCGGTAGAAAATAACGCCACTTGTGTAAATTGTCAGAAACGTCAGAAACGTGTTTGAAGTCCTTTCAAAATTCGCACTCCTACGAAAGCTGAGAATCTGAAAACTAATTCTGGTATTGATGGCCTGTGTTCTACAGTATGTCAAGTTTACAGCTTTCAGAGGTGCGCTAGTTTCTCTGTGAGAAAAACATTCGGTTATTGTCGATAATATATTTACGGGATTTGCTATACTTAGAAGTACGGTGTAATTTCGGACACTGGTAAATATATGGAAACTTGCCCCGAACACTGATGTCTCTCTATACGGCCAACTTGGAGGTTTGTCCGTCGCGCATCGTCGGCCACACTTAAAACCATCATTTCAATCACCGGAGGCCAAACAGGGGCAAACTCCAGTAGAAATAGTGGTTTTTGTATTACAACCATTTTACCTAAATTGCTTTTGTAAAACTTTACTGGCAAGCCGAAACTGTTCATGCCGGTTCATGAGGTGATTGTTTGTCGATTCAATCATGTAAGAGCATACTGTGTCAAATTTTCAATCACCTGGTCGAATAGTATGGTTTATATGGGCTTAAAACTAAAAATGCACTTTATGGGGCAATTCGGACATACAAACGTCACCCAGGGAGAGTGGGTATGTCCTGAACACTTCCAATTTCGCAGGGTTTGAGTGGTGGAAGCTGAAGAGCTCTTCTGAAAGTTGAAGATAATCCATAACAACATAATCCTCAATTGTTACAGCGGTTTCTTTGTAAACTTCGAATTTCATGAAATGGGGCAAAGCTACATCTTTAATACTTAGTTTTTTTTATATGCGTGTTCTACCTTAGTGTCAAATCGTTTTGATTAATTTTCTTTCATGTGATATGAGAGTTGGACTTCGCGAATGGCTGCATAGCTCGCCGGTTTACTATGCAACGCTTTCCACTGAGCCCCTGTATCTTCCTAACCGTACATACGACACGACTACTTGCATGCATGTATGTGATCGTATGTAATCTTGTAGAGGCAGATTTAAGATCCTTTTTCGCGTAATAAAGTATGGCCCGAGTTGCTTGTGAAAGCTAATCGGTCAAAAACTAACAAATAGAAGCGTTCTAAATGGCTCTACTAGTTCCACCCACTATTTCTGAAATTGAACTACATATGAGTGCAATACATGACTTAAAATAATGTATGAATGACCACCCCTACCTTACTTTTACATCTAAACCCTTACGAATTTCTCACATAATCATATTAGCACTTTAGAAAGAGACAGTGATCGATTTTGGGACCAAAATCAGAACGAAAAGTCGTTTTTTCCAAGGGTGTCCGAAATTACCCCAAAACACGGGGTAATTTCGGACACTGCTTCGGACCCTCCACTGTAAAAACGGTGAGGTGCAAATATTTGAAATAAGCGCCAAATCGAAGCTAAAGGTGCGTAGATGATAAATTTTAACCCTCAAGTCCATGACAGCACCACAACTTTCACAATTTCAAAAAAACCTCTCAAAAGTGTCCGAAGTTACCCCGTTTCACGGTACTTAGAAGTACGGTGTTTATCGGCGAGCTTAAAAATGAGAAACTTGCTCGAACCTTGTCTCTCTAATACTGATCCAACACTGTGAGAAAAAGGTAAGGTTTTTGCCGTTCATTTACGAACATGATTTTCCGTTCTTGGAAGTACAGTGTTTACCGTACCTGTAAGTACGGTGTTTACCGTACTTTGTGCAGTGCACTAGCTAAGAGACACCCGTTTCCTTGCAGCAAAGTCAATCTGGACCATTTGAAAAACTCACTAAAACTCCTTGGAATGGCATCCATGGCTACTACATCTTTACAATGCGCTGTATAAACTATGGCAAACACCTTACGTCCTACGGCAAACACCGTTCCTCTACGTTCGGCAAATCCCGTCAATAAATAAACGGCGAAAACCGTACCTTTTTCTCTGAGTGAAGGTTGTTTTGACATCCTTTGAGATAGAACTCTCTCTCTCTCTCTCTCTCTCTCTCTCTCTCTCTCTCTCTCTCTCTCTCTCTCTCTCTCTCTCTCTCTCTCTCTCTCTCTAGAATCTCCGAGATGTCGCTACCGGAAATGCGGGTAATATGGACCACTAGTAAGTGGGTAATGTGTTATTCTTCCGAAGATTGGTGATGTCTCACAGCGGATTTCTCCAAAACCGTTTCTACCGCCCGAATGCGAACTTGCACGCACCTTGGCTCGAACCAATCATAGAGAAGATTTTAAGGGGCGGTCCACATTATCCACTGGTGGTCCATATTACCTGCTTTCACGGTATTCGAACCTCAGTTTCTGGCTCGGCGACCCGCCACAATGAGATCCGCGCCGTCAACAATGCCCACAAGTTGATGCAATTATGGGCGTGGTTTGGACCAGGATTTCTTGGGCCGCAACGACTTCGTGGAGATCTGGCACCGCTCGGCGACGCTGCACGCCATCGGGGACATCTTCTGCATGGACGACTCGCCACTCATCGCCCTCTGCTACCGCATGTTCGAGGAGGTGCTCGGCAAGAGCAGTCCGGACCAGCGACTACCGGTACGTCGGCTCACGAAATGTTTATGGTCTCTTACTGTCCAGAAATTTATTGGGACATCTGTAGCCATAAAAATGGAAAATGGGGCAAACATGTGTTTGCCGGTGTGAGCACACTTATTATCCAAGGAGCGTAACATTATGTTGAAATGAGCGTGATTAAATGTCACGGTCGTTTCAACACTTGCAAAGAAGCTTGCAAAGAAAAGTACTTCGCAGTGCAAAGTATTCTCTGGCTTTGAGTTACGAACTCCCTTGAGAACTTTTTTCTTTGCACTTCAAAGAAATAGTTCGTAAGTTTCGAGGAAAAAGTTTGCAACATTGCGAAGCATTGGTTTGTAACGAAACCAAGCATTTTCTTTGCAAGCTGCAAAGTAATACTTCGGAATGCAAAGAAAATAGTTCGTAAGAGAGTTTGTAATACAATGACGCAGAACACTTCGCACGTATTTTTGGGTGAACGGAACAATGCTGAAAAGAGCGTGGCAGTTTTGTCGCACTCGTTTCTACGTCATGTCACGCTCCTGGAATGAGAGTGACCTTGAGTGTTAACTCACTTTGAGGAGCACTACCGCCCACCACCGGTGACTTCTATACTTCTCATGTCGTCGAGGTGTAGAAATGTTTGAAATCATGGATGAAAAGAACACCATCTGATGGATCTGGTACAGTTCGGATAAGGGTTGTGCAATGGAACGTATTCTCTAGTCATCGTCTTCTTACCTTGGCACTGAGTGTGTACGGCATGTCTGCGCTCGTCAGATCGTGCATGCATGCAGGTGTGATCCAGTTAGTGCATTGTACGGACACTTTGATTTGTAGAGTAAATTTGTGCATAAATTTTCTTCGCTGCAGGACTACCTGGCCACCTTCGGTGCATACCACCCGGCAGGAACCAGTTTCCGATGTATTGAACACTTCGGAGTCATAAATCTGGGTAAGTATTCAGGGATTGTCCAACCGTTACTCTTTTTAGGAGGGTACGCACCCACCCATGGGGAAGTAACACCAGCCACATTTGAGCCATAGTTGAAGGTTCACAAAAAATTGAAATTTACTAAAATTTGTTCAATTTCATCGAAATTCTTCTCAAAATTTATCGAAATTCTTCTCTAAATTCAAGAGATTTTTCGGAAATTAATCGAATTTCTAATGAAATTGAGTTGATTTGTGTACCGGAAGTCACAGTGATTTCGCTTTGCATCCACTCTACAAATCCATAAGCGTACATTGTACGCTCTACCTGGAGCATGCCTGCAAGCACGCTCCAGCTAGGCCTGCCAAGCATGCACTTACTTGTGCATACATGCCATGTACACGCTTCTTGATGCAGTGAACTCCCTATCCCTTATGCACTAGATGCATGCTTCAGTAAGCGTCTACTTGGCATGTATGCACACTGCAATTGCACTGCAATCGCCAAAAAACGGCCTTACGGAAAAGTATTGCCTTCAGAACGGCAATACACAGAAGTATCGCCAAAATTTGGCGATACATTTGGGTATTGCCAAAACAACGGCATTAAACAAAGGTCTTGTCCCCTTGATTTGTTCGACGTTCATTGCCGAATCGTGGCAATACTCCAAAGTATCGCCAAATTTCGGCAATACTTTTGTGTATCGCCGTTTTTAAGGCAATACTTTTCCGTAAGACCGTTTATGGGCGATACTCAATTGCATCGCCAAAAAAGGTACTAAAAGTATTGCCGTTGGATTTGCAGTGCACTAGTAAGTGCATGCTTTGCAGGCATGCGCTACCTGAAGCGTGCTTGCAGGCATGCTCCAGGTAGAGCATACAATGTACGCTTTTGGATTTCTAGAGCAGCCAATCGGAAGGTCTAGTTTTGAAGTTTATTGTGCGTACCCATGGCGGCTCATGTATTAAGCACATTAGTTTCAAATAGTTTTCTCAATTTGGAAAGGTTCGGGAAGGAAGTCTCGTGGTATTTGACGTCTCAACCTCTCTAAGTGAAGAAAAAAGTCAGAGACCTAAACCGAAAACGCATTTCTTGATCCCACGGGCGGACTCGCACTTTAAAGGCGAGCAAAGACTTTGGAGCACTGACATTTTGTTTTCCAGGACGGTTTCGTCCTTTCGGCAAGGGCGTGAACGACCCGAACCCGCCGGCTGACTACAATCTGACGGCTGTCTCTGCCCCCGTGGCGCTCTACTACTCGACAACGGATGGCCTCATCGACCCCAAGGTACGTGCCCGACGTGCCCCGCGTGCTTCGAGAGAAAAAACTGCACTCTGGCCGTCATTTGCATTGCTAGTATTCGCTTAACGCTGAACCCAACGTTAAGGGTACACTGAAATTTAAAGTGGGAGACTTTCCACTAATTTTTAACGATACAAAGAGTATCCAAATATCGTACAGAAATGTACCTCTGAAAAGGGACGGTACTCTGATGCATGAACGAAGAAAGGACATAAGCAATTAATCGTATTTCAACTTCATATGGGGTGGAGATGGTCACGCGAAAGGTGGATAACTTGTTAACCTCATCCCCTGGAATGACGGTTCTTAGTTGTTTTTTTTTCAGCGCCACTGCTTTTTACACTGAGTACCAAGAGCCTAATATATAAGCCATTTATTGTGCAAGATAACTCTACATATATAGTGCAAGATACAATTATATTGGCAAAACATGAACCATATGTGGCGTCACTGGTTGTCATATATTGCCATACATTTCCCATATATTTTCCTTTCTACAAGGGAATTTTGTAAAAGATTGCTACTTGCTGTTTAGGTTGGTAACTTGTAAGATACCAAGTTGACAAAGGCGAGCGAGAAACCATTTGCAGAATCCTGTGTTTACGAGTAGAGTCAATTATTTTGAAGGCACACGTAAAATGCGGCGATGTTTGCCGCGAAGAGAACTTCTGTTACCTTTCAGAATACGTGTTGCGTCAAATGTCAACCGATCTCGCGGCTTCACCATCACACAAACTTTAACGCCAACTTTTTGTTGTTCTTTCAACAGGACGTAGACCGCTTGGCGCGGTTGCTTCCCAAGGTGCACGACAAGTACCTCGTCCCACACAAGCGCTTCAATCACGTGGACTTCATGTGGGCGAAGGACGCGCGCAGCCTCGTCTACAACAAGATCTTGTCAAACATGAAAGAGCTGGACTCAAAACTCTTGAACAAGAACGCCATTGACTAAACGCCCTCTGCCGGACTGCGATGAGAGCGGCTGTGTGCATATTTATCCCGACTGATGCATTCAAAACGAACTAATTTTACTGTAAAAGACCGTGGCTGTGATTTACTGAAAATGAACATGCAATTAGACCATTGTAACTCTGTGAAATAAATTGTACCTGTAAAGAAAGGAAAATTGACGTCTCGTTGGTCTTATCCATAGTCCAAATTGCTGTTACACGAAAAAGAGGAAAAGAGGCGCACCAACGCAGGCTCTCTACAAAGTCTTCGATTTTCATACCTGCAGACACGTTGCCTGCCGATGCTCTGAACCCAGACTCGTCCTGTCGGAGTCGGATGACTGCTGTTTGTGGACATGGGGACAGCAAAACACAGACAAAGTTCGCAAACTGACATCAGTGGAATAACAGAACCGGCGGCTCCATAAGCATTGCACAGGACGGGTAAAATAATATAGCAGAACAAGCTGTCGGCGTGTTGAGTAGCGCGGTGGCGAACACTGAGAATGAAAAAGTCATGATCAGGACTAAAATTTTGGGTGAGGAATTGGGTGACGGACACCTCGCCCCGGTTAACTCGTTCCCGGTCTTTGTCGCACCCGGGCTTAGCCGCCCCCAGTTTCATTTGAGACTCGCCCCAGCAGTTACGCCAACTCGGTCCCAATGCTCATTTTTTTTAAATTTCCCGCCAAATACCCGACCGGCCTTACTACTGAGCGGTTCCAAAACCAACGAACTCTTGGAAACTCATCTCTTCGATGTGGATGAAACTTTTTTTAGGGGTAGGGGTCAGACCATCGGGGCTCAAACGGGACGGGGCTCATGTCCTGTATGCCTTATGAAAAGATCCAATGTCAAAGGATTTTGCGATAAATCACCCCGTTTGGCTGTTGTAACATAGCAAAGTTTTCACTTTGGTCCGGATCATGATATTTCCTTTATTTTTCTCCGTACTTACTGAATGTTTTTATTCCGACAGTGGTTCTTTACGTTAAAAGAGCTGGGGAACACGACGGAAATAGTTTCGAGGTTTGATGTCGCTCTCTCCATTTAACGTAATTTTTTTTTCTCCTCGAAAAATCGCTGTTTCAGAAATAGCTCATCTTCGATTTCGATGTTACTTCACTCTAAATCCAAAGGCAATACTTTTAGCACCTTTTTTGGCGATACAATTGAGTATCGCCAATAAACGGCCTTACGGAAAAGTATTGCCTTCAAAACGGCGATACACAGAAGTATCGCCAAAATGTTACTTCTGCTACTACCACCAAGATCTGCACTATGGGCGGCTCCAGGCAGGCTCACGCCCAGCCAAAATTTGGCGATACTTTTGAGTATTGCCACGATTTGGCAATAAACGTCGAACAAATCGAGCGTACAAGACCTTGGTTTAATGCCGTGGTTTTGGCAATATCCAAAAGTATTGCCAAATTTTGGCGATCGGGTCATTCCATATAAGATTTACACGGATCTGGGTGACCTTTGACGATTTCGACCACATTTGGCACGAAGGTAGCCCTAGTGGTCAGGAACATGCCCACAAATCTCAAGTGGTTTCGTCAGAATCGGCATTTCAATTTTTTACTCTTGAAAAACTTGTAATTTCTTCAAAATGGCTCAACAAGGCTATTTTTTGTCCGATTTTTATGCGGTAAAGCTTTTTTGACGTAAAATGCGATGAGGAATCCGAATATGCCCTCAGATTTGGTCTAGCGTGATTACCAGTGGAGTAAATTGCGAAAAACATGAAAATGAAGCCATATTTCACGAGCCTGCGTACACTAGTAGAAAATCCAAATCTGAACTTCCCACCGAGCTACATTGTAGTTCAGTTTATGGGCTTTCCATATCTGTGTTCAAAAATAGTGGTTGTGGCCCTCCCTTAGGAGCTGTAGGCCGCAATAAACAACTCTGCACTCAAATTTTAGCTGAGCAAAATACACATTTTTGAGCTTCATAGCTCAGGGTGATGAGCTACACGCATGCCGCTTATACCATTCGAAAGGGAATTTCAAGACGATACCATTACTAGGTCTTAAAGTAAAAAATGTGGACCGATCAATAGCTAAAAAGCTGGGCCAGACCTGAAATTTTGTGGGCTTGTTCGACTAAGGGTAGGTGAAATCTGAACCAAGTATCACCAATATGGAAGGACCACCTATTTTAGCAAGCTCTATTTTTGTGAAGTTTTTATCATTTTTTACAAAATATTTCCAAGTTTTTCATCTTTTTCCTAATTTTATTGCTTATATGGATACAATAGTTTGTAGGTAAGCCAATGAAACCTGGCTGGTCCCTTTCTCATTACAAATGCCAAGTAGCCAAGGAATGCGACATTCAAAGTTGACAAACGTTTCAAATCGCTTGAAAACCGAACGGTTTGGAGTTGCTAAAAAAAATTGCAGAGCCACTCAGGGGGTCATCCTGAGTAGATTGACACCTATTTTGGCCAATTCCATCAGGGCAGGTTGTGGGAGGGGGGTGGGGTAGGGCGAGGAATAGTACGGGTGCAGCTAGACATCCCAAGAGAGACGGAAAGACTGCTCGCCGGATTGGCTGCCTACCTTCACGGGGCGTCTCAGCCGAGCCAAAACCCAACTTTTTCTATATACCAATCGAAAGCTTATGAAATTTCGAGTAAGTGAGTACACATTTGACAAGTTAAAATGCTGCCGTTTACTTATTTTCTTAATTGGGAAAACTTGTATTGCAAATTTTGAGTTTTAGCGGCATTTTTGCGAAGTTTGGCATCCACTAACCCGATCGGGCTCATATTGGTACCGTTGGATTCGTCTTGAAATTCCCTTTCGAATGGTATAAGCGGCATGCGTGTAGCTCATCACCCTGAGCTATGAAGCTCAAAAATGTGTATTTTGCTCAGCTAAAATTTGAGTGCAGAGTTGTTTATTGCGGCCTACAGCTCCTAAGGGAGGGCCACAACCACTATTTTTGAACACAGATATGGAAAGCCCATAAACTGAACTACAATGTAGCTCGGTGGGAAGTTCAGATTTGGATTTTCTACTAGTGTACGCAGGCTCGTGAAATATGGCTTCATTTTCATGTTTTTCGCAATTTACTCCACTGGTAATCACGCTAGACCAAATCTGAGGGCATATTCGGATTCCTCATCGCATTTTACGTCAAAAAAGCTTTACCGCATAAAAATCGGACAAAAAATAGCCTTGTTGAGCCATTTTGAAGAAATTACAAGTTTTTCAAGAGTAAAAAATTGAAATGCCGATTCTGACGAAACCACTTGAGATTTGTGGGCATGTTCCTGACCACTAGGGCTAACTTCGTGCCAAATGTGGTCGAAATCGTCAAAGGTCACCCAGATCCGTGTAAATCTTATATGGAATGACCCGATCGCCAAAATTTGGCAATACTTTTGGATATTGCCAAAACCACGGCATTAAACCAAGGTCTTGTACGCTCGATTTGTTCGACGTTTATTGCCAAATCGTGGCAATACTCAAAAGTATCGCCAAATTTTGGCGATACTCTGCAAACTGAAGTGTGTACATAGTACACTCTTATTGGAGCATACTTCCAAGTACACTCTTATTTACAGCATACTTGCTAGGCACACGCTAAAAAAGAGTGTGCCTGGCAAGTACACGCCAAATAAGTGTGTACCTTCCATGTACACGCTAAAATACACTCGATAAGTCCTATCTAAAAGCATGGGCCAGTTTTAGTGTACTTGCCAGGTACACTCTTATTTAGCGTGTACATGCAATGTACACTCTATTTTAGTGTGTACCTAGCAGGTATGCTGTAAATAAGTGTGTACTTGGAAGTATGCCCTAATAAGAGTGTACTATGTACACACTTCAGTTTGCAGAGTACTTTTGTGTATCGCCGTTTTGAAGGCAATACTTTCCCGTAAGGCCGTTTCTTGGCGATACTCAATTGTATCGCCAAAAAATGTACTTTAGTATCGCCGTTGCATTTGCAGTGTTTCCTCCCATGATCCTCTCATGAAGAAAATCCTAAAAGGATTTGGTCGTAAGTTTTGTTTCTGGATACGAAAAGATGAATCATTTTGGCCGTTTTACTTGAATTTTCGAACCACTCTGCAAACTGAAGTGTGTACATAGTACACTCTTATTGGAGCATACTTCCAAGTACACTCTTATTTACAGCATACTTGCTAGGCACACGCTAAAAAAGAGTGTGCCTGGCAAGTACACGCCAAATAAGTGTGTACCTTCCATGTACACGCTAAAATACACTCGATAAGTCCTATCTAAAAGCATGGGCCAGTTTAAGTGTACTTGCCAGGTACACTCTTATTTAGCGTGTACATGCAATGTACACTCTATTTTAGTGTGTACCTAGCAGGTATGCTGTAAATAAGTGTGTACTTGGAAGTATGCCCTAATAAGAGTGTACTATGTACACACTTCAGTTTGCAGAGTACTTTTGTGTATCGCCGTTTTGAAGGCAATACTTTCCCGTAAGGCCGTTTCTTGGCGATACTCAATTGTATCGCCAAAAAATGTACTTTAGTATCGCCGTTGCATTTGCAGTGTTTTCCCCCCATGATCCTCTCATGAAGAAAATCCTAAAAGGATTTTGGGCGTAAGTTTTGTTTCTGGATACGAAAAGATGAATCATTTTTGGGCCCTTTTACTTGAATTTTCGAACCACTCTGCAAACTGAAGTGTGTACATAGTACACTCTTATTTGGGGCATACTTCCAAGTACACTCTTATTTACAGCATACTTGCTAGGCACACGCTAAAAAAAAGTGTGCCTGGCAAGTACACGCCAAAAAAGTGTGTACCTTCCATGTACACGCTAAAATACACTCGATAAGTCCTATCTAAAAGCATGGGCCAGTTTAAGTGTACTTGCCAGGTACACTCTTATTTAGCGTGTACATGCAATGTACACTCTATTTTAGTGTGTACCTAGCAGGTATGCTGTAAATAAGTGTGTACTTGGAAGTATGCTCTAATAAGAGTGTACTATGTACACACTTCAGTTTGCAGAGCAACTTTCGGAGTTTGCGTCGAAGCTTATGACACGTGCTCTACAAATCAAATAGTGTACATGGTACGCTCTAACTGGAGCATGCCTACAAGCACGCTCTAACTAGCGCATGCCTGCCAAGCATGCACTAACTAGTGCATACATGCCATGTACACGCTTCCTGATGCAGAAAACTCCCTATCTCTTATGCAGTAAATGTATGCTTCAGTTAGCGTGTACATGGCATGTATGTACTAGTTAGTGCATGCTTGGCAGGCATGCGCTAGCTAGAGCGTGCTTGCAGGCATGCTCCAGTTAGAGCATACTATGTACACTCTTTGATTTGTAGAGTGAGCATTGTCTTGAGACGAATCCGTTGATGTATAGAAAAGTCATTTAGGACAATTTTGAAAATTTACACCCTATTTTAGCATGAGAGAATTGGGGGCGACTTAACCTGGGGACCAAAGGGGCGGGACGGGGAAGGGCGTGGCTCGGGATAGACCGGGGACGAGTTACTTGCGGCGAGTTGTCCTAGATCCGAGGAATTCTTCGTATTGTGAAGCAAAATCCTTCATAATACGAAGCATTTCTTCGTAATACGAAGCAATTCTACAATGCCTGCATTTTCTTTGTAGTTATGAAGCAAATGCTTTGTAGGCTTTTAAGAGTGTATTACCTAAATTTAGGTGAAGGTTTCCTCACCCAAATTAAGGTGATAAAACTACGTAAGCATACACGTTACTGACACACCCTTCCACGCACAAGTTTGGGCGAGGATCCTTCCTCACTCAAAGTCGGGTGATACCTCGCCCAAAATTGAGTAATGAATGAGTACTGATCAAGGCTCTTTCATTCTCAGTGAAGCTCTTTCTTTGAGAAAAGTTCCTGTGGCCCTGGTGGGATAATCCAAAGTTTTTGAAATGTTGAGCATACTTTAAGGCGTTTTCTTTCAAAATATGCCCGAGCCATCTCAAAAATCGCATATTTAGTCGGAGAAATCGTGACGTCATTTCGCAAGGCAGAGATTCCGGCCAGCTCCGTTGTGATTCCATTACCCCTTGTCTCCACTGTGGGAAAAAATCACAGTAAATCCTGTAGCGATTAGTACAGCTGTCACTGTAGTTCAGAGTACAGGATTTACTGTACTTTTTTTACAGGATCTACTGTACTTTGTACGGGATTTACTGTTACCACTGGAGTGGAGTACGGAATATCCTGTACCAGGTACAGTAAAGGCTGTAACCAGGCACAGTAAATACTGTGTCCTGAACTACAGTAAATCCCGGCAAAAAAAAATTAACGGGATTTACTGTGTTTTTTTCGCACAGTGTCATGCTTACAACTTATTCCACGTCAATCAATGGGAGTCAACGCATAGGAGATGACAATAATTATGCTATCCAAAGGTGGTTGATTTCAGTACAGATTTTATTTCCTAGCTGGTGAAACTGAAAAATCACAATTTCTATGCCAAAAGGCCATTAGACTTTAAGAACAGCTCGCAGGTATTCAATTTATGGTAATCATTTAGCATTGCTGATTTCCTCTCGGAAAATTATTAGAACTCCTGAGTGTACAACAAATGGAAACATAAACCCCGTCATGAACAAATCAGCACTGCACTAGAATTAAAATCTCTACAACTTATATAACATGTACACTTAAATGTGAACTGCAAACACTTAAAAACAAACAACTCATCGTATTAAAAATCGTCAGATTATAACAGTGAAAAGAATGGCCGGTTTAAAATAGTTGCCAACTGTACAGTACAGAACACAGAACATCATACTTGGGTTCCCACGGACCCACAAGGCCGCAGGGATGGAAAAAGTGGACCGCCAAGACCCGTTACGAAATGCAGGAGTCCATGACTCGTAAACGGTCATCGGTGCAATATTTACCCCACAATATGTTACGAAATGGGGAAAATAGTTTTCCAAAGAAAAGATGCCAAATTTTGCAGGACGACCGCAAATCCCAATGTTGACGAAATAAGGTAACGTACACACTCTATTTTACAGTGTGGTTTTCGGTGCATAGGTTGGCACGAAATGAAGCATACGTTTTCAAATGCACCAAATAGTGCGCAGCCAGGCTTGAACAAGTGCATTGTTGTGCAGTACCTTCTGCGCACCAAATCACCGCATTTGACGCACACTCATTCCAGGAGCGTGACATCACGTTGAAACGAACGTGACAAAATGTCACGTTCGTTCGAGCACTGTGTCACGTTCGTTTGGTTGTGAACAAGCTGATTTTTGGCCAATTCACGCCCAAACGAATTTGGAATAATGCTCAAACGAACCTGACATTTTGTCACGTGCATTTCAACGTGATGGCACGTTCCTAGAATGAGAGTGCGCATATGCTCAATTTTGTGCCAAGCTATCAGCCACCATGAAACCTCTTAGGCATTTAGTGTGACCTGATAGCGGGTCCGAGGTGGGTCACTTGCAGTGTCTGGGAGGCAGCGCGCTAGTACTGCATGGCGCTGTGCCAGGCCGGCCCGGAGGCGCCGTCCACGTCCGAGGCGAGGGTGTTGTCCCTGCGCAGCCGGTGGCTGGCGCCCCCGATGTGCGCCCCGCAGCCCTCCACGGGGCAGGCGGCCTCCTCCATGGCGCCGCCGCACTCGGTGATGCAGTACGGGTGGCCGTTGGGGCAGCGGAACCAGTGGCCCGGCTTCATGCCCATGGCGGCCACGATGGCGTCTAGCTCCGGCCGGGAGAGGCCCACGCAGGCTGCCGCCGCCAGCTCCTCCAGCTGCAGAAGGATCCGACGGTCGTCCTCCTGCAAGGACACGTTTGATTGAAGCTCATTTGTAGCCGATTCACATCCAAACCAGTATGACACATTGCTCAGAGGAACGTGACATCCTCACTGAAAATTCAAACGTTATGAATATAGCGTCAATTGGTGCAACGCAAAAGCATTGCACATGAAGTGCATTGCCTTCTCATCCCCATGCATTAGCAAAGGGCATTTTCGGGACGCATACACTCTCAGACTCGTATTGACTTTTTTTTTTCATTATTGACATTTTGTCCTTTGCTTACGTAGTTTTTTAAGCAGCAATAATATGTAGTATTTCCTTTGTAACCGTGTACAAAATTGTTCACTATAAAGACTAAATTGTCATCAATTATTGACTATTTTTTAAGTCAATCACGTAGTGACTCTTTGTCAATAGCAAATTGACTTAATGTCAATTCGTGCCAAGCCGAACAAAATCCTTGCGGCCGCAAATCCTACATGAATATTGAGGAAATAGTACTTTTTATTGCAGTGTAAAATACTCTTTAAGACCTCGAAGTATGAAAGTTTTGGTATGAAAATTCAGACTGAATGTAAGTAAATCGACTTCTTACAAAAAATTATGAATTTTCAGTAATTTTTTTTAACAGTGAGATAGTTTTACCAGTGCATATGTGCTAGACTCATAGCGTTTGGAATCTCAGTGTTGTCACATTCCTTTCTACGTGATCTCACTCACCTCCGGATAAGGAGTTAATCCTCTCAAAATTTTGGAAACCTCTTCATGCGTTGATCTGTCACTTTCCTGCAACTGGCCGAAGCTACATCCACTCTCCACCTGCAGAAGCTGCACCAACCGCTGCAAACGAGTTAGCTCCAAGTTGATGTCAGAAGCCTGTTGAACAGAAAATAAAAGTAAAGTACAAGAGCGGAACATCTTCAGCGTCAAACGGGCAGATGCACGCCCGTACGTTGGTCTTTTCTTACTTGAAAGAAGCCCGTACGTTAACGACAAAAACTACCACTTGACTATTCAATAGCAAAGTATGCATCTGTAGACACTCTACAAAAAATGTCCGGTCAACGCCGTTAATTTATTACCAATGTTTGCTGTTATGCAATTCACGGCGTTTGCTGTGAACTAGTTCACGGCATTCACTGTGATCTCGGTTACAGTGTTCATTGTGATCTGGCCACAGTAAACACCGTGAATTGGAGGCTGATTTGCCGCACTTCGGTGCTTAGCGGCGTCAAACTCACAGTGTTTACTGTGAACCAGATCACAGTGAACACCGTGAACAAGATCACACCCCTGTAAAAAAAATTTAGTGCGTTCTCGTGCTTTTCTGGTGCGACCGTAGTGCGTTATCGTGCAATCGATGGGCATTCACAGTGGGTTTTAGTGCGACCATGGAGCCACCGTAGTGCAATTTCGTGCAATCATAGAGCATTCGTAGAGCATTTCAGTGCGAATGAAGGGCAGTGGTAGCGCAAGCGCAGTGCACTCGTAGAGCGAATTAGCGCTAGCGTAGTGCATTCGCAGCGCGCGTAGCGCAAACGTAGTGCACGCCGCCCGAGGCCGCCCCACCCGTGTCCATCAGAACGCCCGGACGACAGAGAACCCACACGGTACAGTACCCCTAACCTGGGCAAAGGGTGCGCAAGGCGCGCGCAGGCCGCGGGTCTGATGCGGAGTGCAAAACAAGTGCACCCTGAAAACGGCGCGCGGTGCTTCAGGAACACAGCGCAAGGCGGTGGGAACTCCCTGCACACTTCCGCAGGGCAGCGCCGGACCCAAAATTTCAAACTTGACCGAATACACATCAACTTACAGAATTAGATTCGTCTCAAGAAGACAAACAAAAAATGTCAACACATATCATGGATTAAAATTGAAAATGAAAGAATTATTGAACTTCCAATGTCTTTTTGACCATTTTTGCACTTTAAAAATCCCATAACTCTTTCATTTTCCATTTCAACCCATGACATGTGTTGACATTTTTTGTTTGTCTTCTCGAGACGAATCTAAATCTCTAAGGTAATGTCGATTTGGTGAAGTTTGAAAAATCACTCATCTCAGCGAAGTTCAAACCCTGCAACAAACCCGCTCTTGTCAAAAATAATCCGCCCAAGGGGGTCAGGGGTGAGAGATTGGGTCACGGAATCGGTTTACACATTATGGGCTCAACAGTTACCATTAGGACCTATCAACACTAAGAGGGAGGTTGGCCAGCACAAACAACACCTGAGATATTTACATTTTTCTACATTTGACAAATTTAGCGGGAAAATGTCGCTTTTTGATCTTAAGATAGCTTAAATTGTTTGCTCAGTATGGATTGTATTTCTTCTTTCTAGTCATAAAAAGAGGAGAAAAATGGTGCCGACCAAGTTTTGAACGTTGCGTGGTTTGGCCTACTCAAGGAATTTTGTCGAAATCATCGAAACTGTCATCCCAAAATAATCCCCTTAAGATTTGACCCTAGATTCTATCTAAAATGAGGGTAGTCATGATAATTCCTGTCAGATTGTTGCTCCCAGGGACTTTATAGTAATTGTTTATTAGAGGAGAGGAAGTGAAATGAGACCCACCAGGGTCAAATCTTAGGTGGATTATTTTGGGGATGACAGTTTCGAGGCCACAATGTGTAAACCGATTCCGTGACCCAATCTCTCACCTCTGACCACCTTGGGCTGGATATATTTTGACAAGAGCGGCTTTGTTGCAGGGTTTGAACTTCGCTGAGATGAGTGATTTTTCAAACTTCACCAAATCGACATTACCTTAGAGATTTAGATTCGTCTCGAGAAGACAAACAAAAAATGTCAACACATGTCATGGGTTGAAATGGAAAATGAAAGAGTTATGGGATTTTTAAAGTGCAAAAATGGTCAAAAAGACATTGGAAGTTCAATAATTCTTTCATTTTCAATTTTAATCCATGATATGTGTTGACATTTTTTGTTTGTCTTCTTGAGACGAATCTAATTCTGTAAGTTGATGTGTATTCGGTCAAGTTTGAAATTTGGCTCCAGGCGCTGCCCTGCGGAAGTGTGCAGGGAGTTCCCCACCGCCTTGCGCTGTGTTCCTGAAGCACCGTGCGCCGTTTTCAGGGTGCACTTGTTTTGCACTCCGCATCAGACCCGCGGCCTGCGCGCGCTTTGCGCACCCTTTGCCCAGGTTAGGGGTACTGTAACGTGTGGGTTCTCTGTCGTCCGGGCGTTCTGATGGACCCGGGTGGGGCGGCCTCGGGCGGCCTGCACTACGTTTGCGCTACGCGCGCTGCGAATGCACTACGCTAGCGCTAATTCGCTCTACGAATGCACTGCGCTTGCGCTACCACTGCACTTCATTCGCACTGAAATGCTCTACGAATGCTCTATGATTGCACGAAATTGCACTACGGTGGCTCCATGGTCGCACTAAAACGCACTGTGAATGCCCATCGATTGCACGATAACGCACTACGGTCGCACCAGAAAAGCACGAGAACGCACTAAATTTTTTTTACAGGGGCAGTGAATCGCGTGAGCAGATCACAGTAAACGCTGTGAATTGACCTACGGTGAAAACTGGTAATAAATTAACGGCATTGACAGGACATTTTTGGTAGAGTGGAGGTGTACTTGCAAGTATGCATCTGTAGACGCATACTGAATACACACTTCGGTTTGTAGAGTACACGTGTATCACGGCAATAAAATGCAAAAAAAACTCGGCACACATTTAACCTAAAATTAGTCTTACGTTGACGTGTATTTGTGCTTGATTCACGGATATTGTATGCACTGGAGCAATTGCTTTGTAGGCTTTTTGAAATTTAGTTCAATACATGATGACGTGGGAAATTTTAGCCCACGTGTACAAGTGTGGGGCTAGAGCAGCGGTTCCCAACCTTGGGGTCGCGACCCCAAATGGGGTCGCGAAAAAATTTCTGAGGGTCGCGGCGAGGTGGTTGGGGTCGCCTGGGGTCGCGGCTGTTTCCCGGCTGGCAGAATTGTTCAAAACGGTCGAAAATGCCTTTGAAAACTCGTGTTTTAGGCCGACTTTAAGCAGCAACTGCGTCTGATCCGAGGCGGTATTTCGTCCTCCCTTAGCAGGGATTTGGTCTTTGGACCTTCCTTTAGCATGCCTTTGTTACGGAGTGCGATTATCGGCCTTAGTTTGGGAGCAGTATTGTCTCAAAGTTGATGAAAACAGTATAAAATGCCTTTGAATGCCATTTTGATCCACTTTGAGACAATACTGCTCCCAAACTAAGGGCTATAATCGCACTCCGTAACAAAGGCATGTTAAAGGAAGGTCCAAAGACCAAATGCACGTTGAGGGAGGACGAAATACCGCCTCGAATCAGACGCAAAGGCTGCTTAAAGTCGGCCCAAAACACGATTTTTCAAAGACATTTGTGGCCGTTTTGATCAACTTTGTGGCAACACTGCTCCCAAACTAAGGCAGATAATCACACTCCGTAACAAAGGCATGCTAAAGAAAGGTCCAAAGACCAAATGCCCGTTGAGGGAGGACGAAATACCGCCTCGGATCAGACGCAGTGGCTGCTTAAAGTCGACCCAAAACACGATTTTTCAAAGACATTTGTGGCCGTTTTGATCAACTTTGCGGCAATACTGCTCCCAAACTAAGGTGGATTATCGCACTTTGTATCAAAGGCATGCTAAAGGAGGGGTCGCGTGGGGTCGCGGAAATTTTTTGTATCAAATTTGGGGTCGCGAACCGCAAAAGGTTGGGAACCGCTGTGCACAGTACGACTGGTCCACTGAAAAATGTCTACGAAGCGCCGCTTATCGTATTAGGAAAGGTTCCGAAGGCATTGTAAAATCTATAAAGAAAGGATTCGTATTGTAAAGCAAAATCCCTCGCAAAATGAAGGATTTCTTTAAGATACGAAGCAATCCGACAATGCACTGCTTTTTCATTGCAGCAATTGACGCTATACTCATAGCGTTTGGATTCTCAGTGTGCCTTCAATTTCTTCGCAGCCACGAAGCACATTCTTCTTTGACTTTTTTTAGAATCTCAGGTGCCCGGCGCAGCGTTATTGAACGAAAAATTAGACGAATGTGACTTTTGCCACGTTCGTTTAATGTCACATTTTGATGGAAGTGACAAGACCGTTTAGTTAGGATATCAGCTTCGTTAGAACCCACGTTCAACATTCAAACGATTTTGCACGCTTAAAACCTTACGAAGTGTTTTGAGCAGTACAAAGTAGTTAACTTTGTTATGCGAAGAGATAGTTTATAAATTACAAAGTAATTTCTTTGGAAGCTTGTGTATGCTGAAAATACTTGGTTACTACTTGTCTTTGTAAGGCCTTAAATAGTTTGTGAAGTTTTCTCAGTGTGACAAAATTCACATTCTAAAGAACGTCACATTTGTTGGCTAACGGTGTGCCTCCAGGTACAAAGATATGTGGAGCTGCGTGCAGGTCACCTCCTGTTCGCTGAGTCGGAGCAGCTGCCGCTGCGAGAGGTTGCCGCACAGCTGCTCCACGACCTGCTGCATCTCTCTCCTGCCGGCGAGGTTGATGTTGCTGGCCCGAGACGCCGTCACGACAATCTGGTTGATCCCCTTGAGGATGAGGACTTTCTGCTCCAGAGTCTTGGCCTCACTGGTGTTCAGCGGGGGCACTCTCCTGCGGTCAGAGTGTCTCCCGCTGGGCATCTTGTCCTCCATGCTGTTGCGAGTGCGGTCGACTTGGGACACGAGCCGACTCGAAGTCTGGTACTCTGAAACGTGACGATTCTTTGCTACTCACAAGTCTCTAAACCTCAAGATCAGAAGATCTCTCATCTCGGGGTATTTTAAGGGGGCAGTACACTACGAGAGGTGGTTGTTTGTGGGCATGGAACGTCTCGAATGACAAGCGTTTTGATAGAGCACGCCGAGGTTGAGCGCTTGAGGCTCGGCTTGAGGTTCGACCACTTTAACCTCACCCTCACCGGTAAAACTTGAAGACTTTACGCTTGACGTCAAGCGTAGAGAAGAAATTCTTCCATGCATTTAGATAGGCGGGAGAGGGGCAAAATGGAGAACTATGCTTGAAGCCGAGCGTAGTTCCACGACGCTTGAAGAAAGGCGTAAAACTACGCTTGAGTTCTACCAGTGCTGTGCCAATGGACCATGAGTTTTACAATGGTTTAAGGGAATTCAACGAAGTCACAACAGGTGGATACAAAACCCCTCCAGAGTTGCGGTTTTCATCTGGAATTATGGTAAAATTGAGTCCCAAGGTCAGTTTTAAAGTCCCTTACATCTCATGTTCGCAAATAACCCGCAAAAAAAGTTTCTTTTGACATTCCCCAGTTTACTCCCCCCTTACGAGATGTAAGGTTTGTAAGATTACGTAGGGTACAATGGCACCTCGCCAGGTTTTAAAATATCTGGTGACATTTGGGAGGACTCCTCTGCAAATCCAAGTGTGGGACAGGCATGCACTAGATAACGTGGGACAAAATGTCCCACGCTTGGATTTGCTGTGTGACTTTATTCTGAAACGAGATCTCAAAATTTAACAAGATCAACTAAATCACGCGACATCTCCCGAATCTCTCCTGTCGTTTTCAAAGGTACCTGCAGGAAATTTGGGCATGTTCTGCAGCAGTCCTTTAACCCTGTCCAAGTGGGACTGGATCATCTTCGTGTCGTAGAACTTTGCCTTGACGGCCGTTATGTCTTCGGCAACCTTCTTCGTGACGTTGCTGTAGCGCTGGCATTTCGTTACAGGTGTAGTGCACCTGGGACAAACCTGCGACAGGACGAGAGAATGTCAAAGCCTCAAAAGATCCTTTGGTGTCGTGGTTACGTCATTTGAACCTTACTTATTTTCACAAAACTTTGCTGGAGTTTCATCCTAGCAGACTGTTGTAAAAAGCTACGGAAAATTCTGTAAAGACCCTGTGATAATTCTCCGTAACCATCTTATCAATATTCTCCGTAGGACTTTACAGTCTTCTCCGCAGGGCCGTACAGCCATCTCCATAGGACCTTAGTCTTATGGAAGACTGTACAGTCTTACGGAGAACGCAGTTACGTCCTGGATAATACTTTGAGGTCCTACGGAGAATATGCGACACCCAAAAAAGGGTGATACTTCCCCCCGGAAAGGAGGGCCAGTCTCGCTGATGTCTCACCATTTTTTCGGTGATGCATTTGTGTACGACCATTTTTTCGGTGATACACTCGAGCACAACCTTTTTTTCGGTGATACATTTTGTATCTCCGAGAATTGGTGACGTGCCTCACCCTTTGAATTGCAGTGTAGCAAAAAAAATAACAGAGTTTTCCGTAGCTTTTTGCCACAGTTCATCTTTTAGCCGAGACCGCAAAACAAATATTGAACTCAAAAGAAACAGGGGAACCAAAAGCTTAATCGTAAAGGAGTTGAAGCATTTTCTCACACTGCAAATCCAAGTGCAGGACAAGTCGACACTTGTAGGCGTAGGCCACTTTGTCCTACGCTTGCAAGAGACGACCAGTTTTGTCCAACGCTTTGAAGTGTCGACCACACAGTGTCCGGCACCAGCTAGTGTCGACCAAGCATCCGACGGCTGGATGTGTGGGACCACAACAGGAACCTGATCGTAGCAGGGGGCGGCCACGGCCTAGGATAGGAAGCGCGTGAAGCCATGCGCGAGTGAGGTGCAGAGGTTACTTATTTTGCTTCGATTGTAAGATCTAACCCGTTGATTGCAAAACGCTTTGCACAGATCAAAAGAGCACAAAATTTGAGGTGCATCAGGCCTCGTAGACTGCTCGATAGTTCCAATTCAACCGAACCCAAGGGCGAAATCATTTACATCAACATGGCGCATTCGAGTGTTTTCCTCAATTTTATGATTTTTGTGTTTTTCGGTGTTTTCACTGCATCCTAATATCAGGTAAGGGGGGAGTTTCAAGAAGAGCAATTAGCCGAATGCACCCTAAATTTCAAGCCCTTTCCATCGGTGCAAAGTGTTTTGAAAAACACAGTCTAGTTTTCATCATCTCGAACAAGTGGGCAACCTCTGCACTGACGGCGCGAGCATCGCTTCACGCGGTGCCTAGGCCGTTGCCACCCCCTGATCGTAGTTTGCCGCAGGATAAACAGTGTCCTACGCACATGTAGGCGTCGGACTTAGTGTGGTCCACACTTCAAAGCATCAAACACAAATAGGCTCGGCCGAGGGGGTATGCACTCGTGTAATAGTCGGTTCACTCTATCTGTAATAGCACGCGTAATAATACGCGTAATAGTCGCGTAATAGCCGAAATTGTCAAAATTTGATCAATTTTGGTGTGTTTTAGGCCGTTTTTAGCTAAATTCCGATTAATTTGTGGCGTAATAGAGCGTAATAGCGTAATAGTCGGTACACAGGTTCAGAGAGCGCATACCCCCTCGGGCTCGGCACTCGGCGAAGCACGCAAGCGTAAGAGGAGTAACTGGTCTAAGCCTGCAAGTGTCGACTTGTCCCACACTTGGATTTGCAGTGTGCTGTTTGTGTTTCTTAGTACCAATGACATTTGATATTCTTGCTTTACCGTCAACGGGTAAACTTGGGACACTTTTTCACGTTTTTTGAACGCCAGAGGCAAGATTCTCAACCCAGACCAATGGATCCCAACTATGTTAAAGTTTGACCCTTTCCCCTTGATTTCATGCTTGTCTGGTTCACTTGCCTCGATTATATCGTTTCCCAGCGGTCTCGAAAGAGTGTCCCAAGTTACCCCATGACCGGGGGTAACTTGGGACAGTAGGTAATTAGCTACATTCCCATGCCTCTATTGATGTTAATGGATGTAATAAATTTAAGTCACATCATGTAGGCCAAGAATTCAGGCCTAGGAACTATTGTAGGACCGATATTGGACTATATCTAGGGCTCTACGTCGAACTCTCTTTTCTACTGGTATCACTGTTAAAAAAGTTATGAATTTTCAAAGCAATTTTGATGACAATTTTACGAATACGGATATGAATTTTACAAACATTGCAATTTTCATAACTTGATGCGAAAATTCGAAACAATTTCGTAAAATTGTCAATTGTTGGTAATTTTAAAACCATGTTCTGAAAATTGCGAATCTTAAATGTTGATTTTGAGCACACAATAGTAATTTTCCGAATCCGATTGTAAATTTCATAACTAGCTCAAGAGGCGTGGCCAAGGGGCGCTGGTAGAGTCATCAGTAGCTGACCCTCCGCCGCCCGTGGGACGTGGTAGCACAGTAGAGGGCTCAGACGGTCGGACATCGGCGCGTTTTGCCAGCCCGCGTACGGAGCAGATCCGAGCCCGGCCCGGCCCGGCCCGAGTTGTGTCGGGCGGGCCGGGGCGGACACGGCTTGTCCGCCTGTCCGCACAGGACAAATTTTGAAGTAAGAGAGCCTAAGCGTGCCTGCCGATTCACCGCATGGTCTTTGGATGTCTATAATTTTCCACCGCATCAGATAGGCACTACTTTTCGAAGAATGCCGTTTGTTTTGGCAGTTTGCGACTAATTCGTCATCGAGCTCTCTTTGGTGACCGCCAGTTTGGCACAGGTGGCGCTGCTACCGGCTCCAAAGCGAACTAGAAATACCGTCCGCAGTGTCCGACCGTCTGAGCCCTCTATAGCACAGCGGTAAAGAGCGTGCACCACAAGTCAAAGATCCCGGGTTCGAAACCCGCTGATCAAAAGCAGAATCGGTTCACTAAATGGCATAAGGCCGCTTGGGTGTTTATATACATGAACACTTAGTTGTCCTTTTGCTTAACTGCTCTAAAATGACCTCGCAAACGCGAATATGAATTTTCATAACATGATATGAATTTTCATAACGTGATTGTAAAACGTTTTACAATCATTTGTGATTTTGATTTTCATAACAATTGTTTGTGAAAAAAAAATGCCAACCAATGTTATGAAAATTACAACTGATTTTTTTAACAGTGATTATCCAAGCATTTTCTGAAAATTTCAAAATATGGATTACCAGAAGACAAAACTGCAGAGCAAGGCATCTCTTTCCATCATCAGCGTAAAATCCGAAGTTTAAGTTATATCAGGGACCGGGTCAGTCAACTCCTAGAAGGCTAGGACTGCTGGAAACATGAGGAAAAGACTGTCCCAAGTTATCCCGTAGAAATTCGATTTTTGATCAATTGAAGTCTGGACCGAAGATGGGAAAACTATAATCAACGCCCTTTTGCGAACGTTATTGTCTGCGTATGATCTAACAATCCAAAGAGACTAATCGGCCTAATCTGCATTTCACTCCTTGCACTAGGGTCAACTTGTCAATAATTGACATATTTTGTCAAAAACCCTATTATGTAGTTTCCTGTTTCTCAAATACTAATTGTGATGTAATGCACCTCTTCCACCTTTTCGCGCGTGCCCTGAGGCCTCTGAAACAAAACCCTGTCGCGGGTTTGACGCTAGGAACCCTCGTCGCTGAATGGCAGCACCAACAAGCTGTACAGGGTAGACTGTCCCAAATTACCCCTGGTGTCCCAAGTTACCCCCGTTGACGGTATGTTGAAATTTCTCTTCAATATCTTGATTTTTTTAAAAAGTCATAGTTTATCCTAATATTGTTCGACGAAACGAAATCCACTTACTTTCGGTTTGATCTCCGAAGGTATATCGTCCTCCCAGTTCTCCCAAGTCTCAATGGACATCCACTTGTCTAATTCAATGGACTCCAGAATGTGCTTGCAGTCCGGCAGCCTGATGAACCTTAAGAAAAGAGAAGGGCGTTTTTCCGTCACACTTTCGTCGTGGCTGAGGCTGGTTTTAACAAGTGACGTCACATATAATACAACGTCAGACATCAGCGAGACTGGCCCTTCTTAAGCTTGGGGATATGTCGACCTTCATCTCTGACACAAAAATGTATGACCCTTCAGCGGTCGTACAACAGTATTACCCTTTTAGGGGTAGAAATCTGACGTTACTGTTTTTAGTGCTCTACAAACTCAAGTGTGTACATAGCATGCATCAGGTTGAAGCATGCCAGAAAGTTCACTCCACGCCAACCTGGCAAATGGGTGATGCAACTTCGTTGTCCAATTCGGGGTGGAAATTTGGTATCCGGCGTTAGGTCACCCAAATTAGGGTAACGTCGACGTCGCCGTGAGGAACCCGATGGCTTCCTTCCGGGCCACCACGATGACCGCCATGTGGCGTTGAGGCTGCCGTGAGACCCAGAGGCCTCCACGCCACAGCGCTCATCGGGGACCTCACGGCGTCGCCGAGCTGACGACGTCACCCAAATTTTGGCGACAACGCTGGTTACCAAATTTCGGGTGATGAATATTTCGTACCCAAAATTGGGCAACGAAGTTGCATCACCCATTTAAAGGGTGGGTGGTGACCCATTCATTCTCAGTGGGTGAAGATGACAGATCAGGAGACACACCCTAACCTAACCACAACCTAACCTAACCTAACCTACCCATGAAGGAGTTCTTTCGTACCTGGCTCCATCATCCTCCTCGCTTCCCAAGAAGATGGTCGTCACCTCCTCCTCGTTGCATTCCTTGCAGATGCAAGGGTCGCCGCAGAGTCCGATGCAGTCGTGGCCGCACTTCTTCAGCTTCTTGAGGCAGGGTTTGCTGCACTCGAAGGAACACTGGTCCCCGCACGGTTTGAGGCACCTGCCGTGTTGGCAGCGACGGGTGCACGGCTCCTAAGAAGCGTGCCAAAAACCATGTACACTCCAAATAGAAAGGTGATATCCGCCCTTTACTGGCCCTTTAGTGAAGGTGGTAGTTTTGAAAAAGAGCGCTCCAGATTTTACCACCTTCGCGGCGGTACCATAATGACAATCCTTTTAAGACCATTTGGACCGCCCTTTGATAGATTTACTGCCTTGGAAACATCGTAACAACACACTAATTGCTTTTGCGACACATCACGGTGTACGCCTCTTGCGGTCAAGATGCGATATTTATGCAACGTGGACTGTGAAAATTTGAGTCGTCATTTGATGACAATTTCAAGGCTGATTTTCCTTAGAAGGATGTCATCAAATCAATTGATGACATTGTTGTCATGCCCATGCAATAAGTATAGGACCTTTGATGAAAATGACATCAATTTGTGATGAGATCGTCATCATTTGAAAGTGATGAAAATATCATCCACGTTTTAGTCTTAAAGTGACAACAAATCCTTACAGTGTGGGCAGAAGAAGGTGCCTACTGTGGCCCACGGAAGAAATTTACCATTTGGGTAACAATGGTTCCCTTCACGGCAAAACCAACGTCCGGGTTTCCCAGGCGCACCCTGGAAAAACAGGGCATTTTTCCAGGGTGCGCCTGGGAAATCCGGACGTTGGTTTTGCCGTGTTCTACACACCCATTTGGCGACGAAATTTTAACGTCAGTGGGTTTCTAAATTTCGCAGCCCTTTGGCTGTTAAATTCGTGAGAGGCATTTTTTTTAAGAAGTCCGATCGTGGAACACGACCGATGCCGATTTCCTCCTTTTTTTGGTCAAAGGTAGTCCTTGTGGGTCTAAGAAAGGCCACAAATTTTTTGGGCCGAAATATGCACCGTTCAGATTCTATGGGCAATTTTCGTTTTCTCTGACAACTTTTCACATAATATGGCCAAAATTGAAAAATCACCTTTCTGAGGCCTCTATGCACTCGATTGAGCTCAAAATGTGGTATCTCATGTAAAATCACGCGAGGAACACGAATCCGGTGCCCGTTTGTTGATAGGACAACCCAAACAGATGTTATGACTGTTTTTCAGGTTTTGTAGTGGTTTTTACTTTTCTTGGGATTTTGGTGTTCGGCATCGATTTTCGCCGATCCGATGAGTGGATTTTATAGATAAAGGACCAATCTATCATACTACGAGATAAAAAGTTTGTGTACGCCGCGTGAAAAGCAGTGGCGCTGCAAAAATTGAAAAACCGTCATTTCTGGGTAGTTTTAGATCAGATAAGCCACCTTTCGCGTGACCGTCTCCGCCCCATATTCAGTCTAAATATTGTCCCAAGTGATGTCAGAGTTGGTGTGTAATTTCACCGCTGTAGCTCAAGTAGTTTGGAAAGTGCAGGTTTCTAAAGTTTTGCAATCACGTAAGGCATTTACTTTAAGTAGAATTGCGGTAAATGTGAAGACTCGTCACAGATCGGGTAATAAATGAGATAGATGAGTGCGTCAAAGTTATTTAAGCGTAATTTTGGACAAGGAATCCGATTTTGATGGTACGAAGACCCTAGGCGAACTCTGAAGTTGGAAAAAAAGGCCATTTTTATGTGGTTTGCACGAAAACGTAGTTTTAGAGTACACCTAGGGCCTTCGTACCGGCAAAATCGGATTCCTTGTCCAAAATTACGCCTAGAAAACTTTGACGCACTCATCTATCTCATTTATTACCCGATCTGTGACAAGTCTTCACATTTACCGCAATTCTACTTAAGGTAGTAGGAGCGTTACTCAAAAGTTAAGATTTTATCATGAAAATCGCACAGCATATGCATTTAAATCCCCTGAGTCTAGATCCGCAGAGAAAATAATACGTCACCGGCGAAAATCATGAGTTTGGAGTAATTGAAATTAGCATGTGGCCTTATGTGATTGAGGTTATGTTGCCCACGGTTGCGGAACATAAATACTTGTTTTCAATACTTCTAGTAAAGATAAGTTAAAGATTTCTTCGACACAACATGTGTTTTAAGGCACTCTATTAGCTAAAACAAAGAAAACCGCGCCTTCCCGTCCGATTTTCTGCACAAAACTACAAAATACGTGATTTAGCAGACGAGACCGAAGTCAAGTGCACAACTAACGTCACTTTATAAATTCGCTGCGCCCGAATATCGCAATGTAACGGCTCCCAATTTGTATTTTCGGTAGTTAGAACTGTTTGACAAAGCAAAGCAATTTTTTTGGTGGCCACTACTACGTTTTTATAAACTCGACTCTCGCTTGACTAGCAAGCATCGCTCCTACTACCTTAAAGTAAATGCCTTACGTGATTGCAAAACTTTAAAAAGCTGCCATTTCCAAACTACTTGAGCTACAGCGGTGAAATTTCACACCAACTCTGACATCACTTGGGACAATATTTAGACTGAATATGGGGCGGAGACGGTCACGCGAAAGGTGGCTTATCTGATCTAAAACTACCCAGAAATGACGGTTTTTCAATTTTTGCAGCGCCACTGCTTTTCACGCGGCGTACACAAACTTTTTATCTCGTAGTATGATAGATTGGTCCTTTATCTATAAAATCCACTCATCGGATCGGCGAAAATCGATGCCGAACACCAAAATCCCAAGAAAAGTAAAAACCACTACAAAACCTGAAAAACAGTCATAACATCTGTTTGGGTTGTCCTATCAACAAACGGGCACCGGATTCGTGTTCCTCGCGTGATTTTACATGAGATACCACATTTTGAGCTCAATCGAGTGCATAGAGGCCTCAGAAAGGTGATTTTTCAATTTTGGCCATATTATGTGAAAAGTTGTCAGAGAAAACGAAAATTGCCCATAGAATCTGAACGGTGCATATTTCGGCCCGAAAAATTTGTGGCCTTTCTTAGACCCACAAGGACTACCTTTGACCAAATAACAGGAAAAGTAGCGATATACATCGGCAACTTTGGCCCGTCCCATACATTAACAAATGTGTGAATTTCGCCTTTGTTTAACCCTGACGAATTTAAACCAGGGTCTAGGGTCAAAATAGATGTTATTTTCGTCATCAGCGCCCTCAAAAACATAAGCAACAATGCAGAAACTCGAATGAAAAGAAAGTTTAAAATATACCCCACTGGGATTTGAACCCGGGTCCGAACTTCTCCGATTCGTTCGAAAGTGGCACCATTGGTTTTTTCTCGTCGCACCGATTCCAAAAATACCCCTACATGCCCTGCTAGCTGCATCCGTTGCCGAGATCCTCCTCGACCCCATGTAGACCATGATGCACCTGCAGCAGCGCCCCCGGGACTGGGATCGGATTTGCTGCCACCGGGCGGTTCTTAGGGTCACCCAAGGAGGCTGCATACCAAATTTGGTCAAGATCGGACCACGGGAAGTCCTCGGACGGACGGACGGACGGACGAACGAACGGACGCACAGCAGGGATCCAAAAAAGATACTCCCCCTCCCCACGACTGACTGATTGAGTGACATACAACTTTTAACCACAGCGAAAAGTGGCCGATCGATTTTCTTCGTTTAAGAGTCAAACGATTCGTTATTTCAATAATTGGGAAGCGAAAAAATATTAGAATTTACTTTTTCTCAACCTTTTGCCTGCTAAACGCGGAAAACTCATTTCCCATAAGGCCTGCAGTGAGGGGGTGGGGGAAAATACACGCCCCCCCGGCCGGCACCCGCGACTCGCCGATCGCACTTTCACCTAGAAGGATGCGTCTCAGATGGGTCATCAAAGCGTACGCTACCCCTCAAATTTAATTTTCTATCTGCTGAACTTGGTCCCGTCTCGATGCGACCCACCGTTCTCCAGCTTTGACCTTTTCCTCCCTAAAAAGCGGCAGAATTTTCGCTACTTTTTGGCCCGTCCCGTTTATTTTTTGTAAAAAAATGACGGAGGGACGGGCATATAGTATGATGCATGCTGTGCGTCCGTTCGTTCGTCCGTTCGTCCGTTCGTTCGTCCGAGGACTTCCCGTGGTCCGATCTTGACCAAATTTGGTATGCAGCCTCCTTGGGTGACCCTAAGAACCGCCCGGTGGCAGCAAATCCGATCCGAGCCCCGGGGGCGCTGCTGCAGGTGCATCATGGTCTACATGGGGTTGAGGAGGATCTCGGCAACGGATGCAGCTAGAAGGGCATGTAGGGGTATTTTTGGAATCGGGGCGACGAAACAAAACCAATGGTGCCAGTTTCAAGCGAATCGGAGAAGTTTGGACCCGGGTTCAAATCCCAGTGAGGTATATTTTGAACTTTCTTTTTATTCAAGTTTTTGCATTGTTTGTAATGTTTTTGAGGGCGCTGATGACGAAAATAACTCCTATTTTGACTCCAGAATCAGGTTCAAATCCCGTTGGGGTTAAGCATAGGCTAAATTCGCAGATTTCTAAATCTACGGGACGGGCCAAAGTTGCCGATGTGTATCGCTACTTTTCCTGTTATTCTTTCCGTGGCTGGTTTGGAGTACAAGACGACTTCCGAGATACCTCATCAAAGCGTACGCTACCCCTTATTTTTTACGAGGAACATTTTTGCTTTTGTTACTTTTTCTGTAGGACGAACGGTTCTTGATATTGCGACTCCCCCTGGTTGCCTACCTCGCGGGGGCTCTTCCTTCTCATGCGAGACTTCTATCGGCTGGGTATGATAACTTAACTTTTATTAAAACATAGTTTCGGTTCTTCGACCGTCATCTCAAGAACCATCAGTTCTCTAAATTTACCCACTTTCCTTCCCTTCCGCTGTCACTGGTTGCCTACTTGGCAGGGGCATTTAATTTCTCACAAGACTGCTTTCCAGAGCGGTCAGAAAAATTCTATATGACTCTACTTTTTAATAAGGAATATTTCTGGGGCGATTATTTCTGTCTCTAGGCGCAACGGTTGTCAAGATTTTGCTTCCTCAAGATGCCTTTGCAGGGGCGCTCACTTGATGTTCGAGACAAATACACTATGATCCCCTTTTCACAAGGTCCTCGGTTTTTCGCTTTTTTACGGCCCCATCAAGGACGGCAAACATCTCCGATTTTACAACTTTTGTGTTAGAGAACCGGCCCTGATAACTTAATCCCCTTGAGGTTGCCTACTTTCCAGGGGCTCCAACTTTTAATAAAACAAACTATCTTGGAATGGTTAAGTACAGCGTAATTAAAACACAAAGTCCGTCTTGATGGTGGCAAAGGTGAATTCCCGCTTTTATTGCTTTCTAGCCCATTTTTAACAGAAAACTTTTGGGGTAGAATTTTAGATTGTAGGGCACTGCTCATGACAGTCAGGGTCCATTTATAGTTTTTATACATAGCTATACGGCTTGACAGGTACGCATTAATTCGTTTGTCAAGATAAAAAATTCTTCAATAGAAATCTTCTCTTCAGGAACGATGGCCATTTGTACTTTGTCACTGCTGATGAATGAAGGGCTGCTGCGTTCGTCACCCCACTAGCCATCACAGCTCCTCGCTGTAATTGGTGAGCAGTGCGATTCAGGCTAGATGACAGGCGCTGCTGTTTTGAAGACGGCAAAGTCATTTCACATCAGCTGCTGACTGCGGCCAGGACAACGACTCCAGGGGAGCCCAACTTTCGACGCTTTGACTCAATGCCACCCCCTTTTGACTCACTCGTCACGAAACATTGTGTACCAGACAGCTTCTGGAATTGTTGACCGCGGCGTACACCGCCCGATTAACAGGCGGCTAGGTCCTACTATCGCTAACCAGACCGCACTCAGCGGGCCGAAGGCACGCACGGGGGGTCTGGGGGGCGAAGCCCCCCAGCGAGCTAAGCGAGTCATACTATATGCCCGTCCCTCCGTCATTTTTTTACAAAAAATAAACGGGACGGGCCAAAAATGGAGGAAATCGGCATCGGTCGTGTTCCACGATCGGACTTCTTAAAAAAAATGCCTCTGATCGAAGGGTGGGGCAGGGCCACCAAGTAGCAAAATTTCGCATCTTTTGTTGCAGTGTACAACAAAGGCCTTAATACGACGCTCTGAAGCGACTCTAAAGCATTGCCTTAAATGTGAGAAAGCGACGTCGGACAAACCTTGCAGCGGACACAGGGTTCACCACAGCGCCGATTGCAGTACGAATGGGCACATCTCTGCTGGCATGGCAGAGTACACGGTGGGCAGCTCTTGGGGCAATCCTCCCTGCACCTGAGGACATCGCATGAAACGGAGTTAGAGCGCAGGCAAGCCAAGATCACGCTCTCAACCTTTGCATGAAACATCTATAGAATGTTTCTTCACAGAGACAAAAGTTCGCGCATAATATGCAGAATTTTGAACAACATACTGACAATCTGTTGAAAAGGTTCCATGCCACCCCAGTGGCTCTCTCGCCACAAACCAAAATTCAGCTTTCTAGTATCTCAATCCATTTCGTCATTCCAGCTAAAGAACACTAAAGAAACGCCAGAAAAAAACTTAACTTTTTCTGACTTATGTTCTCATATCAAGTTTAAAATCATTTTCTATGTTTTCGAGGGTGCTGATGACGAAAATGGAATCCATTTTGAACTCCGACCCAGGTTCGAATCCCAGTAGGGTATTTCAACGAATCCCTGGACGGGAAGTCAAAGAAGAAAAGTAAGAACCAAAACAGCTTCTGCGCATGCGCAGACGTTCCCCCTCCACTCTAAGGCAGCGCCTGCACATGCGAAGAAGCTATTTTGGTTCTAACTCTAGTTCTTTGACATATCCGGTCCAGGGATTCCTTTAAAATACCCTATCGGGCATCATTTGGCCAGAATTTACGAATTTCCCTCCCGAAGTTTACCTTGTGTCTTACGTTCTCGAGGGTGCAAACCCAAAGATGTCATGCAATTCGACCAACAAGCCCCGTCACTCTTTACTTGGAGGGCGCGTCTGAGGAGCCGAGCCCCCAGCTGTAATGTGGACCCCGAATGCTCTTTCGATTTGCGGCTTCGTAAATTTTCAACAGACTTTGTACATTTACGATTTTTCCTCGTAAATTTACAAAGAACCTTCGTAAATTTACAAAGAACCTTCGTAAATTTACAAAGAACCTTCGTAAATTAACGACAAACTTCCGTTGATTTAAAAAACTTCCTATTGGATAGAGACATTTACAGTGCACTTTTGGACATTCCCAAAAACCTTTGTGAAATAATCCGTCGTAAGTTCACAACATAATTTTTACAGTGCACTAGATTGTGGCGTCTCACGTGGACACTTACAGGTGGCCGCACAGCAGCCGCCTCTCGCACTTGGACTTGCAGGGCTGGTGGACGCGGCCCTGCAGGCAGGCCCCGCACGAACCGCCACACTGGTGGTCGCACGGCTTGAGCAGCGTGGAGCAGGGGTGCGTGCACAGCGCCAGCAGGTCAGGACTGTTTGGTTCTGCACACAGAGGACACGTAGTATGTATTTTGCACCCATCTTTCCTATATTCTGTTCTCTATCCATAAACCATTGACCGAATTTCCCAACGACTATTTAATCGTTCGTCATGACAGTTATCCCGTTATGCTTTGTCTCAGGATCAACGAATGGCTCAGTGGGATCAACTCATTCTAGGGTAAATCCGCTTTGAAATTTCACAGTGCCTGCCAGTGATTTAAAGTTTGTGTCGGAGTTTCATAGTTCCATCCACAGTTGCAGAGACTCAGATTCGCATAGTTTCTGTCGGAGTTGCAAAGCTCCTTTCAACGTTTTAGAGTTCTTTCTTAGTTTCAGAGTCTTCGCTCTTCAAAGCGTCGGAATCCGTTTCTAAGTTAAGAGTTTGATCGATCCACACTCCCAATCCAGGAACGTGACATCACGTTCATGGCATTGTGTCACGTTCGTTTGAATGTGAACGAGCTGATTTTCGGCCAATTCACACCCAAACGAATGTGACACAATGCTCAAACGAACGTGACAGTTTGTCACGTTCGTTTCAACGTGATGTCACGTTCCTGGAATGAGAGTGCAGAGTCTGAAATTCTGTTCAGAGTTGCAGAGTTTCGCTTGCAGGTTTAGAGTCTGAATTACAGAGTGATTTTAAACTTGACTGTGAATATGGGACGAGAACGCGCCTAGAACGGGATTCGTACCGTATTCGTTTTGGCGGTGACATGGCACACTGATGGGGTGACCGCAGGTCGGGGTCTTGGGGTAGGGCACCGGGTGGCTGCACTGCCCGGTGGAACAGTCCTGTCCGCACAGTATTCCGCACTTGTGCCCGCACGGCAGGAGTCGCTCGCACGGCATCCGGCACGTGGAGGGGTCGGGGGAGCGGCCGCAGCTCACCTTCTGCTCGTGGCCGCAGCGCGGCACTGTCTTCAGCACCTGCACAGGGACATTCGTCAAACCACACTGTTAAAACATTCCGTTCTTTAGTGCAGAAGAATAACGTACGGAAGAAAAGTTCGGAACGTTCGTACTTGTTCCACATGAACTCATGTTAGTTGGTACCGTCAACGGGGGTAACTTGGGACACTTTTTCACGTTTTTTGAACGCCAGAGGCAAGATTCTCAACCCAGACCAATGGATCCCAACTATGTTAAAATTTGACCCTTTCCCCCTTTTTTTCATGCTTGTCTGGTTCACTTGCCTCGATTATATCGTTTTCCCCGCGGTCTGAAAGGGGTGTCCCCAAATTACCCCATGACCGGGGGTAACTTGGGACAGTAGGTAATTTGCTACATTCCCATGCCTCTATTGATGTTTAAAGGATGTAATAAAATTTTAAATCACATCATGTAGACCAAGAATTCAGGCCCAGGAACTATTTTAGGACCGATATTGGACTATATCTAGGGCTCTACGTGGAACTCTCTTTCTACTGGATTATCCAAGCATTTTCTGAAAAATTTTAAAAAAATTGGGTTACCAGAAGAAAAACTGCAGAGCAGGCTCTCTTTCCATCATCAGCGTAAAATCCGAAGTTTAAGTTATATCAGGGACCGGGTCAGTCAACTCCTAGAAGGCTAGGAC